GTCCTCCACAACTAGACTGAAGAACAAAATGACAGCAACTTGTCTGGTCCCCTCCCCCCAATTCCCCAGCTCTGTTCCCATCCCCAATTCCTGAGTAAAATCTTAAAAAAAAAAAAAAAAGAAAGAAAGTGGGTGTCAGGTATGCATTGTAATGAGACAAGCAAAATCGCTTCACCACAGTGACTTATGATGAGAATGAAAGGGGGCTTTTCCCAAACCATTTGAAAATGAATATCAAGGATGCCGATAGGAAGTATGTATAGATATGATTGATGTGTGTATGTATGTGTGTGTGTATTTATATATATATATATATATATATATAACACACATAAGTTATTTTAATTTCTTGTGAATTATTTCCAAATTAAAATGTGTCATGTATTTTATTTTGGGTCCCATTAGCTGCTGAAACAAAAATCACAGGCCCCAGAAAAGCCTGTTGTGATCTCTCAGATGGATCTCAAAAAGCAGGCCAAAATTAACCAACAGAACAGAAAAGCAAAGAGAGAGGCGATGGGGACAGAAAAAACAGACCAAGAGGCCACAGGAGGTCCTGTTCCAGGACCCCTGAGGAGCAGGAAGGTGCCAGCACCGCCCACAGAAGCCAGTGGAGCAGAGCACAATGAGAATGGATCCAAGAAAAGGACAAATGGTGATATTTCTCCAAAACGAGGGGACATCAAACATAAGAAGCGGAAAGCTAAGGTGACTACAGCCTTGGCTCCAGCTCCGCCCACCGAGTAAGTACTGGGAACAGGTAAGTAGAAACCACCTTGGCTGTGGTGACTGGCACGTCTGCCACCCCGCACTGCACCCAGCCTCAGTTGTCCTCATCACTGAGAACAAAGTCACAGCAACTTAAGGCCTGTCTGCTTAAGGAGGCCAAGGCTGGCGGCTCCTCCCACAGTCCCTCCCTCACTCTGTCCTGATGCTGTTCGTTTCTTGTTTATTATCTAGAATGTATACATAATGAGGGCGGGGCCTGCTTCATAGCTGTTGTGCTGCAGAGCTGGGCAGTCCCCACTAAAGATTTGTGGAATGAGTGAATGCCAAAGCCAGGAAGACCCAAGTTTGAACCCACTTCCTGCGTCTTGCCACGTAGGTGGTTGGGGGCATGTTCCCGACGTCCCCTGAGCCTCCTGTGTCATCTGGGGGGGGGGGGTCTGTGAGCTGCAACATGCTGGCTCAGTGCCCGGTGGTGATTCATACCTGTGATGACCACTCTTGGGGAGGACCAGGAGTCAGTGACCACCTCCGAGTGGCCCAACTAGAGGTGGCGTATTTGTAAGTCAGGCTGGCTGCGTGTCCTCTGGGTGTTGAGGGCAGTTGCGGAAGTTTGTAGGGAAGGATGGTTTGAGCACCTTCCTTGTGTCATTGTGCCAGGCAGGCTCTCTAGAGGGAAATAGAGCAGTCGTGACAGGCCCCTCCCTCTTGAGGCTGATAGTCAAGTAGGGAAGACAGATCATAAACTGAAATCATTTCAGCAATTCCATCCGTGTGGTCAGAGTAAATCCAATGAGGGTGAAGTTGTGGGAGCAAATGGCCAGAGGAGCGGGCTCGTTCAGCGGGGTCAGGACGAGATCTCTAAGGAAATGACATTTAAGCTGAGCACGAAAGGGAATTCACCAGGCAGAAACTTACATTCCTGTGCGGGCGTAGGCGTTTGAGTGAGAGATGGTGGTGGTTACACCACGCTGGAGGGTTTTGTTTCCATTTCATAGTCTTGTGTTTATCTGTGTTTCCTAAATGATAATGAACATATTTTTAATTAAAAGGAAAACATGAGCTTGCAGTCATTATGCCTTGTGTTGCACTGCACTCTTTGTGTATCTATAGTTCATATTTTGGATAATGAGCATGTTCTCTAATTCAAAAGGAAAGTGGGGAAAGGAGACTGTCAGGTGATCGGAAGAACAGGAGCAGCTGGGCGTTCGGGGCCCGACGGCTGTGAGTGCGTCTCCACCCACTGCATGGTCAGCCTGTTCTCCTCTCTGCTTTTTAGAGAAGACATCTGGTTTGATGATGTTAACCCAGAGGATATCGAAGCAGCCATAGGCCCAGAAGCAGCCACCATAGCGAGAAGACAGCTGGGGCACAGTGAGTGCGACGTCACGCTGGTGAAGGAGCAGGCCTTCCGCGGGTACGCGGGCTGGGCCCGAGCGGGCGGGGTCTGCAGGAGGGGCTGCTTCCCCTCCTCAGGTTGAACTGGGCAGGCACCTCCCAGTGTCCTGCCGAGACCTTGTCCCCTTGGTGAGCAGTGGGATCGGATGGAGAGCTGGTGCTGACCCCTGGTTCCTGCAACGTGGATTAAACTGGAGCCCTTGGTCCCCTTTCAGCCTGACGAAAGCCTTGGGCATGGATTGTGAGATGGTGGGCGTGGGCCCCACGGGGGAGGAGAGCATCGTGGCCCGCGTGTCCATTGTGAACCAGTTTGGGAAGTGCGTCTATGACAAATACGTCAAGCCGACCCAGCAGGTGACCGACTACAGGACAGCGGTTAGCGGGATTCGGCCAGAGAACCTCAAGCAGGGTGGGTCACTCACAGCTCATGACCTTAGAAAGGAAAAGCAGTTATGGTTCATGTTTCTCCCTTTTGTTCCCTGTCACCATAGCAAGCGTCCTGACAGCCTCCGAGCCACTGGCCCTGAGTGGCTTGTGTCACTTGGCAGTAGTGACCGGGATGGAGTGTGTTTGAGGACCAAGAAGGAGGCCGGGGGGAGGTGGGACAGGTTGTTGGGTCTCGAGGATCTCTGTGACAGCTTTGGGAGGCCATGGGAAGGTCGTGAGCAGTGAGAGGCCTGGTCTGGCTCAGATCCTAGCAGATTCCCTCTGACTGTGGTTTTCAGAATAGACTCGAGGGCTGTGAGGTGAAATTAGGAAGATGAGGCCTGAGCACCTGATCAGGGAGGTGGCTGTAAGAGGTGACAAGATGTGGCCCGACTCCAACATACCCCGAAGGCCGAGTCGGGGGCTTGCTGATGGACTGGCTGCGGGCGCAGAAGAGCAGAGAGACATCGGCATGGCTCCAAGGCTGGGGACCAGAAGAGATCCTACAGTGCTCGGGGTCGGGGCCCCTGCGCTTTCCCTGGCTCACAGCTCTGTCTGCTCTGCACCTCTGAGGCTCTCTGCACACAAAGCAAGGCTCTCCGCTCCCCGGTGCCCCAGCCTCTCGGTTCTGGGCTCTAACTGGTCCTGCTTGGGTCGGGAAGGACAGTCATGGGGTGCCAGCGTGGTCACTGCAGCCCTTCCCTTCGGGTGTGGGGGGCTGGCCCCGAGGGATCAACTGTGAGAAACCAGGCAAGCTGCCCCAGAGCCCGGGGGGCTAGAGCCACACTTGCCACCACCTGGCAAAGGACCAGTCTTGTTTTTGTCCTTAGTTGGGAAGACAAAACACCAGCCCTGGTTTTGTGTTAGATTCAGCGTCGGAGCTGTGGGACCTCCAAAGGCCCACTCGGTTGCACTGCTCATGCTGAGGAGTGTGTGGGGCTCCGGCCTGTCCTCCTCCAGAAGGGGCATGGGGCACGGGGCTCAGGCCTGTCCCTGGTGGGTGGGACGGCCTCTGTCAGCCCTCAGTCTCGGCAGTGTCACCCTGGGCATAGTTGACCCTGTTCCCCAGATCAGAACTCAGCCTGACCCATCGTCTGAGTCTGACCAGAGGTGGGAGGGTCCTCTCTCTCCCTCTCAGACAATGGCCCTGATTTATGTGTTGCTAAAATCCACTTCTTCGGGTCGTTTTCAGGAGAAGAATTTGAAGTTGTTCAGAAGGAAGTGGCAGAGATGCTGAAGGGCCGGATTCTGGTTGGACACGCGCTGCATAACGACCTAAAGGTGCTGCCCTTCCGTGCCACCCCACACACCTGCCTGCGAGCGCCAGGTATCGTTCCTTGGGGACACCCCAGGAACGATATCAAATACCACTTAGTTCTAACCATGTTCTTGGAGCAGCGCTAGGCATTTTCCGTCATAGAAATCCTTTAAAAGGTTTCTGAGGTGTTCCCACTCATTCTATCGGTGATAAAGCAGGCTCGGCGAGTTTGGTGCCATGTCCACGCAGTCAGTATGGCAGAGCTGGGTGCGGTCCCCTTCCCACGGCACTAGCACATTCCACATAGAGCCAGGCTGCTGCCTCTGCAGCTTCCGCCCAGAGGTGAGCTGGGGCTCCCGAGGTCAGAGCCCCTTCTGTCGGGAAGCGGTCCCTGCAGCCATTCCCTCACAGCCACTGAGGGAGCGAGCGGTCCAGCACTCCCCTCGCCTCCCTCTCACAGCTCGGAGGGTCCACTTCTGGTGTCCCAGAGGGTGTGGCCTCTCTCTGTGCTCCTTGAAGGTCTGTGCAGTGGGCAGAACTCACCCGCCTGTCCTGGTGAGAACCGCCGGGCAGGTGGGACAGGAGACAGCCTTTCCTGGGCGTGGGCTGTCCACACAGTGTTCCGTGGAACCCTCACGTTCTCAGCGTCTTCTATTGCCTTTTTTAACAAATCTTGAACTATTAAAAACTAACAAGTCCTCTGGCCGCCGAAACGCGCTGTGCCACCACAGGTGTTCTCACCTCAGAGGCCATGCTGCCTCCCAAAGACCCTCCTGAGGCTGTCGGTGAGCTGTGCAAACCTGACGGCTCCTGACTTCCTGTGTACGATGCCAGCTCGCAAGACTGGCAGAAGGTGGCTGCTGCCTGATTGGTGACTGTTCGTCTCCTACCTCCTGGTCTCACGGTTCTGTTTTTATTAACATGGGCCTTCCTGTTAGGTGTCATCTTGAGTCAGTGTGATGTGAGAATTTTCTTTCAGAAGCTCACATTCATATCAGTTCCTGTTTTTATTCCTGTGTGTATGTGTGTTAGGTATTGAAATTCCTTGTAAGACTCATCTAAAAAAAGGAGTTCCAGCTATAAACTAAAAATGACAACGACCATCACTATCTCCTTTTAGGTGCTGTTTCTTGATCACCCAAAAAAGAAGATTCGGGACACACAGAAATACAAACCTTTCAAGAGTCAAGTGAAGGTACTTAATCAGTGTGGTCCCCTGCGTGGTAGTTCTGTTTTGCTGGTTCACACAGCTGTTGGTTCTGGTCCCTGGTAACTGACGTGTTGGTTAAGGTGTTTGGTTTTGGTTTGGGTTTTCCTTGTAACCTTTATAACTAAAATCTTAAAAGAAAAAGTAGAGTACTAAATGCCACCCTGAAAAGTCTGTGTGACTGAGCGTAGGTTATTTCCACTTTTAATCACGGATAAGACCACCGAACATGGGTAAGAAGCCATGTCTGCTCCAGGGGGTGTTGAGGGCAGAGCCCCCCATAAGATGAGCGGGGACACCCAAGGCTGCGGGGCAAAGATGCAGGCTGACCTTCCTCTATGGACTGATGGGGGTGTCATCCGCCCTGAGTCGCGCGGTGCTTCCAGTGAAGGTCACTTGGGTTGGGATGTAGCACCCCCGGCTCAGGCAGCGCCTGCAGAGGCCTCTGCCCCAGCACGGCTGTTTGCTGTCCCCTCCCTGGCAGAGTGGAAGGCCGTCTCTGAAGCTGCTCGCAGAGAGAATCCTGGGGATCAGGCTGCAGCAGGCAGAGCACTGTTCAGTAAGTGTCCTGGGGTGACAGTCCTTGGGGTTCGGGGCCGTCTCTGACCTCACATGTGGAGTCGCTGTGTCATTGATGGAAGGTAGGGTTTGGGTGACTTCTTTCTCAGGAGGCTGCTGGTCCATAAGCAATGACATGGCACAGCAGGCTTACGGAGTGTTAATTTCTAAATGTTTGCGTTAAATTAACATGACACTAACCTGTATTGTGCTGTTTGGAGAAAAAGTCCCCAGTCTAGATGGAAGGTCCTTTAGGACCCTGTGGCCCAGGCCAGCCAACCCCCTTTGCCCTCAGTGACATGCCCTGGTGACTGTGATGAGTGCTGACACAGACCGCTGGCCGCGGCGCTGTGGCCTCAGCCTGGCTTGTGTCCCAGCATCAGGCCGAGAGTGTGCCACCCCCCCCATCCCCGCCAGTTTCCCTGTCTCTTGTTATCTGAGCATGGCACAAGGAGCACAGTTGTCCCCTTCACTCCTCGGGGGTTCCTCCTTCTGTGAGTGGGGTGCCCGAGTCGCAGGAGCGTGGTGAGGATCATGTCATGGTCACTGTCACCCGAGCACTGCCCTGCTCAGTTTTCTCCTTAACGCACCAGCATCTGGCGCTCAGGCTCGTGAATTGTGGGATTGACTGGCCTGTGGCCATGCTTGTCATCTGCTGGGAGTCATGGGGTGTTCCATGTCACCTAGATTCAGGATGCCCAGGCAGCAATGAGACTGTACGTCACGGTGAAGAAGGCATGGGAACACATGGCCCAGGACAGACGCCCTGCCGCTACTGCCCCAGACACCGGCAGGAGCCCTGCTGCTGGTGCCGCCGCTCCCGCCGCCCTGTGACACATCTCCGTCCACAGGCAGCTGTGACCAAATCATGGGACAGATCTAGTCTTCCAGAGTGGTGACAAATCCGGCAGCAGGGGCCCGGGGCATGCACGCCGTTGAGAAGAACAGCTTCCCTCTGATTTTTCCATCTAAGACCCAGTCCCACCCGCTGGGCGAGCGGGCAACATGGGCAGGGCTGTAGCTGGCGGTCGGGTGTCTGTCCTGGGCACGGCCAGGACGTGGGCAGTGGGGACCGAGGTGGGAGCGCCTGGCAGCTCTACACTTGGCTGAGCCCCAGCATCAGGACAAGAGTTAGGACTGTCACCATTCACGGGGTGGCAGCTTCACTGGGGACTCACTGTCCCATGGCAGGAATCTCCCAGCTGTCCCCTGGGTCTGCAGCGCTCTCCTCCAAGGAGGCCCCTTCCCTTGTTGCCGTGGGCAATGTAAGGAACCCGGCCAGACCAGAGCCTCAGCCTCATAGAGGACTTTTCTGTGGCCGCCTTTGGCCTTAGATGTCAGACAGCGTGTCCCTCTTCCCACCCCACTACTGCCCGCCAGGCTTAAACCTTGAGGTCAAGCCCACAATGTGACCATGCCAGGCTCGGGTTGCCCCTGAGCGTAGTGACAACAGTTATTCCCGGAGGTGGTACCTGTCCCCGGCTAGGACAGACATGCTGACCTCGGGCAATTTGAGCTGGGACAGTGAGGGTCTTTATGAGATGGGAGGGGGGGTGCATGAAACCCAAGGCTTACCTGCACCTCCTGACGGACAAAAGGCCCAAACCCACTGAGGAAATTATTAAACATAAATGCGGTTTTTATTGAGATGGAGCTGGTAGAGGTTCAATTTCTTTCCCTGGTTTAGAGTAGTCTGGAAGGACCTCTGTGTCCAATGCCACCTGATCCAGCCAGGACTGAGGGTTGTATGAAGATTGCAAATCGAGCACCATGGCCACTGGTCAGCCTTCCCCCAGGGATGGCCCGGCACCCAGGAACTGGCCTTCGGCCTGTTACCATAAGGGCATGAAATGCACACGCTGGTGCTGGGTGACAGTCCCTCCTGACACCCCCCCCCCAACCCTAAGGAAAACGCCCTCCTGTCACTGGGCAGCCCTGTGAGGTACAATACAGGAGGGGCAGGAGAGAAGGCTCCCAGTGGGGGCTTGGGGGGGTCTCAGGGCGAAGCCGACCGGCCTCCCGCAGAGCTGGGTGGCGTGGCCGCCTCCAGTCTCAGGAGCACCCTTTCTGTGTAAGAGACCAGCTCCTGGAAGAAAACGAGCAGTTCTCTGTTTCCATGACGGTCCTGGGTCCATGAGCAGTTGTTTGTGACTTAATCCACTTCTTTGAAGAGGTCTGATTACCCCTCCCCTTTAGGATTTCCACATGGAATCACAGACGGGAAGAGCCATTAGGAACTACACACAGGCCAGGTGGCTTCCACATAAACCTTGGTCCGGGCCCTGGACTCGGTGCCACCTGGGTCTGGTTGAGAGGTGGGCGTGAGGCCTGGTGTTGGCACAATAGTACTCACCAGGCTGGAGGTGAAGCGCGCCGTGACCTCCTGGACCAGGGGCAGGACGCCGCCGGACACCAGCTCGGAGAGGAGATCCTCTGAGGGCAGAGCAGAGGGTCCTGAGGCCGGGGCCCGCCCGCACCCCTCTTGGGGAGCCCTAAGCTTAACCAGCCTGAGCGTCCACAGCTCCCTGGCTTGGGCATTTCTGAGGAGGCCAGCAGGACAAGGCTGGGTCCCCATTCCCTGCAGTCTTAGCATGAACCGCGCCCCTGGGGTTCAGGAGCTGGGTGTCACCCACAGACAGCATGGCGCCTGGTGCGTAGTGGGCACTCGTGTCACGTGAACGTGACATTGTGGGGTTCCTTGCCTTCTCCCACCAGTTAGAGCTGGGACGGCGCCGCCGGCCACCGGCTTCTGGGAGGAATGAGGAACAGGTTCTCACGGTAGGAAGCGAGGTGGGCCAGCAGCATGCAGAGGTTCTCCACCACCTCCGGGTCGTCCCTGTGGAGCTGGTATGTCTCCTTGATGAGGGCGAGGCCGCTGCTGCCCTCCGCTGGCATCATTATCTGCAATGCTGCCAGCTCTGGGGAAGTGGGGGACGGGGTCATTAACTCAGCTGCACGTGCCTCAGTGCCCTCTGGGAAGTGGGTGGCAGCGGCACTGAGTTCTTAGGGTTGTGGAGTGCAGAGTGCTCGGGACAGCACTGGCCTCCACCGCCGGCAGGGGGTGCAGTTTCCTGCAGCCTGGTGACCTCCGAGGTCACCGTTTTCCTCACTACGGCTGCAGAGCTCATAAAAGCGTCTGCTATCCTTGTTTCCTCCTAGTGGGAACGTGCACCCACCTCCTTCCACCCAGGCAGCAAAAGGCTCCCTAGAGGGGTGATCTCAGCCTGTGGGCATGACCACCTGTAGGGAGAGCACTGGGGGTGCTCCAAGGTACCCCCACATTAGGGGTTAGGCCCTGCTCTTGAGGGACTGGGGGCCTGTGTAGGCAGTGACCTGGGGTGCCATGGAGACGACGCATCAGATCCTGGAGCCTGAGGGAAGCTGACACTAGAGTGAGATGACAAGTGTCACACAGCCAGCTGGTGGCAAAGCAGCAGTTCTCACGCAGACTCTGGCTCTGGGGTCCTGTTCACTGGGTTCTGATGACCCGCCTTGTGAACTGAGCCGTGCCCGTTTCTCCCTCACGACCTACAGGATTGGCAGCGCCCCTGTGACCGACCTGCTGTCGGCAGGACCTTGGACAGGGTGGGGCGGGCCTGGAGCCCAGGGCGTCTCAGAGGGAAGGCCTGACCCTGGGAGCCTCCCTCCCGTCAGGCCAAGTAGCAGACAGAGGCGGGCTTTGCTGCCCACCAGCCCAGCCCACCCTGCGCAGGACCCTGACCCCGTACCCTGAGTTGGGGCCAGATCAGAGGGGCTAAGTCACACCCCACACACACCAGCTGGTGACCATGGCCAGGCCCCAGGCCCCAGGTGTCAAGTGTCATTGTGCTGTGAAACCAGGCGTGGAGCCTGGCACAGTACCTGAGTGACAGCAGGGTCTGTGCTGTGGAGTGGGAATTGAGTGACACACCTGTCTCCTGGGCTATTACTAAGCTGTACCTATAGGAAGACCTGTGTGGACCTATACGTGTTTATGGACAGGGAAAGATGGCACAATATAGCTTTATGCAAAAAAAAAAAAATATATATATATATAGAATGTCTCCATGGCAACTTCTGGATGATTGGGACTATAGACTGTTTTTCTTTTATTTGACTTTTTGCTTCTGTTTTTGGTTTGTGGGCAGCTGGCAGACATTACTTGGTGAGTTTTGCCCCCACCTCCCAGTGGCAGCCCGGTCTGTCCCCTGGCTCACCGGACACCTTTGCGAGGCTGGCCAGCCCCCGGTAGGCGTTGTTCACCAGCAGGACCCTGTCCTGACATAGCCGGATGCTTTGCAGGAACAGTGCCACCACTTCTTCAAACTGGTGCTCCTTTATGCAGCCTGCAGACGGCCCAGTGCGGCCTGGTCACCTCGTGGGCCCAGGGTCCACCGCTCCCAGCCCCTGGGGCCCCGGGCTGCTCACCGAGCAAGGACAGCAGCCAGAGGACGGCACAGCCAGCCTCAGCCATCTCTGCATCCATGGGATAGGTGGCTAGCACCTTGGCAATGAGGACGGGGGCTTTTTCCAAGGGAGCCTTGTCCACAATAACAGCTGGAACCAGGACAGGATGGAAGGGGGACACCTAGCCGTCAGGTGCTTGCAGAAGTGGCTGTATACATGGCCCTCCACCTCTGCCTCCCACCAAGGATAACCGAGCAGAAACTATGGGGGAGAGGACAGATGTCCTCAGAGACGGGGGTGAGGGGACTTTCCAGCCCACCAGCAAGATTGTGGGGGGTGGGGATTCCCTGCGCCCCAAGGGGAGGCTTGGAAATTCTGCCCTTTGGGCAGGGCGCTCTCGGGAGCCCTTTTTCTCTTGGATGTAACTACCACCCAGGTGCTGCAGGGCCTAGAGAGGAGGGGGCGGCATTGCCTGGGGCCCCTTTTCTGAATCCAAAATGAGGACAGGATGCCAGTGCCAAGGATAACTTTCCGAAACCAGGGACTGCCCGGGAAATCCCAGCAGGTGGGCACTGGGGGTCTCCCTGGGCAGGAAGTGCCAGACTGCGAGGGGCCCACCCCACCAGGACAGCTCCTCCCCCTCTGTCCTCTCCACCTCCTTTCTTTTCCTCTGCTTTGGGGCTCTCAGGAGAGCCCTTCATGGGCCATGGCTTGTCCTGAAGTGTTTGAAGTGCAGGAGGAGGAGGAGGAGGAGGGGCCCCTCTCACCATCCACCAGCAGGACCCACAACAGGCTCAGGCCGTTGATGCAGATGTCCCTGTTTCCGGAGGAGGTGTCCAGGTGCTCCAGGATATGTTCAAACAACCTGGCTCTCTGCAGCTCCTCTACAGTGGATTCTGTTGGGTGGGCCCCGGAATAAGGACCACAGAGGACCCCTCCTCCAGGAAGCCTTCCCTGAGTACCACCTCCCTCTGTTGTCCTCAGGCACTGCAGTCCCATGCATCCCACAATACTGGACCCCTCCTCCGGGCCTCCTTCCAGCTTGGGACCCAGAAACGAGGACATGGTCCATCCCCTCGACCATCTGTCCCAGCATCTCCCATCCCATTACTGGGCGGGGCCCCACCTCTGTAGCTTTCCTTCCAAGGGACCTGGCCCTGCCTCCTGGGGACACACAGCACTCCTGAGCCTTTTGAGATGAGACCACGATTGTGCTCTATTCATAGCACTCTTTTCACTCCCCAGAGTGGGATCGATGGTGTACGGTCCATTACCCAGCCCCCAGCCCTGCCCCCACCCAGACACAGGACTCGGTGAGTGCCTTGGGCTCTCTGGGATGCCATCTGCCCATTGGGAGGCTGATACGGACCCAAATGAGGTGGTTGGGAGAGTGTAAAGGTCTGTAAGCCCTCGGTACTGCTCCTCTCCTCCACGCCATCCCCAGTCTGGCTGCCCCGCCTGCCCAGCTGGTGACCTCAGAAGCCCAGGTGCTCCATGAGCAGAGGTCAGCAGGGCAGAAGGGGCAGTGAGGGCTTGAGCGTGACGTAGACGTCAGTGTGAAGCCCGCAGTGGCACCTGGCAGGTACCGGTGCCCGTGCACAGTTGTTGAGGGAACATGATGAGCGTGTGGAGCAGACCGCCCGAAGGCAGTGCAACTGAGCCATCTCAGGAGAGGGCCCAGGACTGCCCATGCCCCTGGCACCCCAGCCTCGGCCAAGAGAGAGGCGGGCAGACCCACCCTGGCTGCAGATGATGGTGAGCAGGCTGTAGACCATGACCAGGAGCTGCTGGGCCTCAGGGTGGCTCCACATGACACTCATCAGGACGGAGGTGACGAAGCTGTCACTGGGAGCCTTGGCTGCCGGGTCCTGTGCCAGCGCTACTTGGGCGATGGAAGTAGCCTGAAGTCAGCTGCCAAAGCTGGGGGCCAGCGGTGGGTGGAGGGCATGTGGGTGGGCTCCCTCCCTGGGTGGGCTCCCTCCCTGGCTGGGGGCAGTGCCCTCACTTTGCGTGAAGGAAGCTGAGGTCGGCCTTGTTCACCTGGCACAGAGCAGGTCCCTGTAATGCTTGTTGCATGAGGGAGTGAAGGGCCCGAGGGTGGGGCACCCTCCTGGCCCACACAGCCAGTGAGGGGCACCGTGGGCCAGTGCTGGTTTCTGAGACCCTGCCGGGCCTGTGCCAGAGTGAACATCTAACACACCTTGGCCCAGGATGCGGAGCAGCAGGGAGCAGGCACACAGCTGGATGTCAAGATTCCTCTCGTGTTGCTTCATGACCGCAATCACCTCCTCTACCAGCTTCCTTTGCCACGGCATACCTGGTCAGGCGGGTGGCATAGGAGCAGGGTGAGAGGGGGTGTGGACCAGACCAGGGAGCAAACACTGCTGGAGTCTGCAGGGCATCGCACATGGGCCCGAGGTGGACGAGCAGGTGACGAGGCAGCGTGCTCAGTCGCCTGCTGAGTGCTCGCTGTGTCTGCCACAGGCATCTCACGCCAGCAGCTCTGCAATCGTGGATCCTTGCATTACTGTGCTCACTGTGCAGATAACTGAAGGGCAGGGCACTTGCTTTGAACCCAGCCTGTCTGGCTCCAGAGACCCTGGCCATACCTGCCCTGAGAGTGGACATCTGTGGCTCCCACAACTTTCCTCTGTGTTGGGGCCTGTGCTGTGCGCTGGGAGGGGGCGAGAGGCAGTGGCGGCGGCTGAGGGTCCATGCCAGCCACGCTCCCCCACAGCTGCTTCCCCTCTCCAGGCCGCTCTCCTCGACAGGAGAGTGCAGAGAGCAGCACCTCCATCTCAGGCTTGTGGTGAGATGACAAGACAAAAGTGCTGGCACCCAGGAAGTCACGCCATGGCAACGCCATCTCCCAGCCTGTCTGAGGCAGGTGTGGCTCGGGGGTAGCAGGGAAGGCCACCTTGGGAAGGGGCCCAGCAGCCTCCCTCAGTTCCTCCAGGAAGGCAAAATCTCCCTTCCCATGGACTCTATCCTGGCCACAGCCTAGCTGCAGGGTCAAGGGCAAGGAGGAGACAGGGGAAAGGCAAATGGCCAATATGAGATTTCTGCTGCCTCATTACAGGGCCAGGATGGGCCTCTGTAATCCCTGGTGCCCCAGCCACTGGGACAGACCTTTTGTGGAAGGAGGGGTGGTAGACAGATGGACAGAATGATTGGATGAGTGGGTGGGGTGGGTGGGTGGATGGATGGACGGATGGATGAGTAAGTGAATGTAATATTCAGGCTGGTGACACAAAGGGTGAGTGGAGACATTTTATGAAACCACATTTTGGCAAAACTAAAAAGATGAACACTCATTGATGGAGAGTTTTGGGGAGAGAGGTGCTATATGCACTGTTGATAGGTGGGTACGCTGGAACATGAAAGGAGAGCAATTTGAAGGATCTGTGAAGTCTTCACAGCCTGAACTTGTAGGAATTTATCCTACAGGAACACGTGAGCACACACTTAGGCTCCAGAGTGCTCAGTACAGTATTGTTTACAACACTGAGAAATTAGCAACCACCCGAATACCATCAGCAGTGGTGGGAGAGATGGGGTGTCTTCAGCATCCATTAATCAGGCGAAGGGAGGCCACTAGGAAGGGTGTGGGACCCAACCCGCCCCGTCTCTGCTCAGTAAAAGTGTCAACACAGGAAGAAGTGCAGGCTGCCTATTCCAAGCAGATGGGAAGACGTGGAGCCGTATGGGAATGTAAACCAGCCCCGGAGGTGTCAGAGGCACTGCCGGAGAGCCGGCCGTGAGGGGCCAGGCTCTGCCCCGGAGGAGCTGGGGAAGGCCAGCAGACTGGGCTCTACCTAGCTGCTCGTCAGGCATTCTCAGGAGCTTCTCGATGGCCTTGAGCTGGACTTCAGGCCGGCTGGAGAAGTTCTGCATGATCTCTGCAAGAAATGAGAGCATGGGGAGGCATCTGCCTGTGCAAACCCAACCTCGGCTGGCTGGGGACCCTTCTGAGGGCCAGGGCATCTGGGGCCCGGTGTGTGGGCACCACCTCATCGATTCGTGTGATGGGGCCAGAGGTGGTGCTCTTGTCATCTCCACTTTCCAAGTCAAGCAGCATGTCCAGAGTCGAACCCCAGTCTGTCTCAGAGCCTGCCTTGGGCGTGCAGTGCTGCTGTACCCCTCGCTCTGGCTCGACGTGGCCAGGGCCCTGCCCCTCTGGGCCCCCAGCAGGCTTCTCTGCCCGAGATTCACAGCAGACCACCCCCGCCCCAGAAACGAGTTGCAGTCTCAGGGTACACGTTGCAGACCCCTATCCTATGAGTAACTCGGAACCCTCCTGCCTGGGCACCATGTGAGCACCTCACAGCAGCCCATGGGGTGGGGCCTGCCATGATCCCTACTTCACATGAGGAAACTGAGGCTCAGAGGGGGTGCCCCGCTCAAGGCCACTCAGCTAGTGGGTGATGGGCTTCAACTGGACCCAGTTGTCTACCTTCAAAGCCCATGACCATGAGATATGGGGAAACTGAGCAGCTAGGGCCTCATGGGTGCCCCTTCCCCAGAAATGGGGCAGAGGCGGGAGACAAAGTGTGGAGTCCCTTGTCACAGGCAGCCCGTGCAGGGAACCACGGAGGGAGCGGAGGGAGGGAGCAACCTGCCCACACAAGGAACACAGAGGGATGGGACTTGAAATGACCTCTAGACCTTGGGCATAGCTACCGGGTGCCAGTCACTATGCTGGGAGCCCCAAGGCGCCCCAGCCTGGGGCACGTGACAGATACAAGCACATACACCTAGGGTACCGTATGCCCAACAAGCACTGTGCCAGGTGACTGGCGGCGCCCTTGACTGAGCCTGTGCATGTTCAGCTTCAGAGATCTCTACAGGGATGCACCTGCAGGCCCAGGGTCACTGCTGTACCCGTCCCAGTGCCCAGCACCATTCTGGGCACTTAGTACCCACAGAGGAAGTGCTGCTGGGTGGGGAAGACACTCCAGGCACTGGAGCCACTGTGCCAGGGTGTGGAAGTAAATGCAGGGCGTCCCGGAGGACATGGCAGTGGGGGGCTGGGTTGTGGGGGAGGCGCTGACTCTCTGGAGCAAGGACACAGCAGCCCCACGGCGCCATGGCCCACTGGGTCCTCACACTCACCTAAAATGCTGGCCATGTTGCCTTCTAACAGCATGTCGGCAACGAAGTCGGGTATCGCCTGCCCGTGCAGCGCCAGGGGGACGCTAGGGGACCTTAAGTTGCTGCTCATGAAAGTGATGTGGATCACGTCCCTGGGGAGAGTGGAGAGCTGGTGAGTTCACCTGCGTGGCTGTCCCACGACGGGACGTGGATGGGCTCACGGTGGCCTGGTGGCCCGTCATTGGGCAGCACCTCTCACCATCCATGTCACAGGCGTGTCCAGCAGGCTCCCAGCCACCCCACCTTCAGGAGGGACACGGGCTGACGCCTGTGGCTGAGGGAGGACCGTGCTGGGCCTTGGTGCTTTTCCTGCGTGGGCCCTTTCCTCTGAAAATCTGATTTTACAACTGTGTTGGTATAAAGGCGAATATAACCCATGCTGGATTCATTGGAATAGATTCATTTTTTCTTCTGATTTTAAAATAAATTAGAACTAGTACATTTTCCTGGTCCTCTGGGCCATGCCTCCGTGCCTGATGGAGAAGTCAGCCCTGTTGGCTCCCATGCACAAAGGCGAGAGCCCAGACGGTTCGTCTGGGAGAGCCACACGTAGGAGTGCCCAGCGGTCCGCAGGCGAGCCAAGATGGGTGTGAAGGCGCTCTGCAGCGTTGAAACACCAGGTGGCCGTGTAGACGTGTTCAACGATAAACCGAAAGGTTAAATGCCGCTCCAGCCCCGGGCTCACCTGACTGTTATGCGCTCTGAGGGGCTGATCTGAAGCATCTGGGGCAAAAGGGAACTGAACGTCTTCGCGTGGGGGCTCTCCCGCTCCTCCATGGTCCTCAGGACACCCCTCAGGCCGTCCGGGAGACTCCGGATGGACTTGCGAAGGAGCATGGCTTCTGTTGCCTATGAGGAGATGGGGGCACTGCTTCGTGTGCGTTTCCTCAACTAAATGAAAACTGGCCCTGGCCCCGGGGATGGAATGGGGAGACTGTGCCCGACACCAGGGTGAGAAGACCCGGCCACTACCTTCAGGAACTCGCAGAAGCCCACAGTCCTTTGACAAGAAACAGAGCTTCCAAGAGAAGCGAGGCAGAGGGAGTGAGGGACAACCCACCCCACAGTCGTGTCAAGAAGGCCATGGGCCGCATCTCTGATCCAGACCCCACTGGTAAGCGTCTGAGGGTCTGGGAGAAAGGAGGCAGCGCCGGGGCCCGCCTGTACTTTCTGGGCACCTCGATGCTTACGCGCGGGGCTGGTGGCACGGAGGCCTGGCCAGCTCGCTTCTCCCTGCTCTCCTCTGTACGTAGAGAACCTGAAGCCACAAGGCGCAGCATCGCAGCCTCCCACAGCCACGGGACCAGGGTCTGCATGGCCCTTGGCTCTTCCCTTCTCCTTCCTGTCCACAGGCGGTGTCCCTGGTTCAGGGGCCTGCAGCTGAGCTCAGAGCCAAGGCCCCATGCTGGGGAAGCGCCTCACCAGCCTGGCGCCCCTGGGTGACAAACAACCCCTGTGTGCTCAGGCCTATGTGGGTCCACTATCCACTGTTTGCAGCTAAAAGCATCTTTAAGTCAAAAAGGGACAGAGCAAGGCCCAAATTCTACCTTGGGCGGCTTAATGCACCTGAAGTAGGGTTTTTTTCATCCATAAGGTGCAATGAGGACACCCAGAGGGCTGCTGTGAGGGTCAGACGCATGGGTGTTTTTACTATTCCCACCATGGTCATCACTATCATGCTAGGGCTCCCTCAGCCCAAGGTGCGACTTGGGGAGTGCAGGGGGTGGGGCCTCCGCACAACCTGCCGGGAGGCACAGAGCACAGCTGGAGAGGGCAGATGGGAAGATTCTGCCTCTTGAGCTGAGGTGGGCATGCCCGCTCCCTGGGGACATAGGGAATGGGGGTTGAGGTGTGGCAGGGAGGGGCAGGCAAAAGGTGACTCGCCTCCATGAAGGAGCAGCTGACCATGTCGAGAATGATGCAGCCCAGGGACCAGATGTCGGCTTTCTGGCTGAAGGAGAAGTTGAGGGCTTCTGGGGCCATCCAGGACTTATGAAAGGGGTCTGTTGGCAGGAAAAGGTGGGGGTGCATGAGTCCTGTGTGCCCTGGGGAAGCAAGCAGCTTGAAAACTGAACCCTTCATCACCCTGCTTGGAGGAAGCAGGGACAGGCTACCTGCGGGGGGGGGGGAGGAGGCCTGTGGTCAGCAAGAGCCTGGCCCTTGATCTTCAGCCAGTGAGGCTGCACATCTAGGCAGGTGCCCAGCAGGCTGGCCCATGTGTGCATGTGTCTGTGTGCCCACTGTGGCCACAGAAGTAGTCCGAAGAGGCATGTACCAAGAAGGCGAAAATCTGTACCCTCTTTAAACATATTGCCCCTCTAAATGTCAGGACCTTGAGGCAAAGTTCCAGATGTCCTGCCCTAGTTTCTAAACCTGAATCCCTGACGAAAAGCCAACTGAGCAGCGTCCCCAGTCCAGCTCTGTCCCTGATAGGCCTTAGGCAGCCCCTTCCCCTTTGGACCTCCATGCCCCAGCGAAACGGCAAAGGGGTGAACTCCAAGGAGCCCTGCCATCTACAACTGCAGTAGATCCACCCATTATATCCACCCATCCATCCACCCTCCAGCCTCCACCATCCAGTCTCCATCCACCATCCATCCTCCATCCTCCATCCACTCACCATTCATCCTCCATCCTTCATCCATCCTCCATCCACCACCCATCCATCCATTCATCCATCCATCCATCTTCCATCCTCCTTCCCCCCATCCATCCATCCATCCATCCACCCATCCTCTGTGCACCAAGGACAGTGCCACCAGTACCTGCCACCCCAGGACGCTGGAGTTCTCCACTGTGGTTGTTCTCTCCATCCCTGACGGCTGTTATAGGCTCAAAGCCTAGCGCCCTCTGCCCCACTGTCTTTTCAAAGGAGACTCATGTCCCCTTTCCTCCCCTCTACCACGTCCTGGGTTATTTTAGGACTCAGTAAAGTGACCCACCCCTCACCAGTGCCTGGCACCCAACAGCCTTCCACCCCTACATGTCAGTTTCCTTTCTCCTGAGACATTTCTTCTCCCTCCAAGAAGTTTTCCATTTTCTGGGTGTCTTTTGGACCCTGCAGGTCCCCCCATGGGGTTACTTCTGCTCAGTTACAATCCAGGCAGGGGGTCTCTTAGGAGCCCACATGAGCTCAGGGTGGGCTGTAGAGGACCTTCTGAGCAAGGACAGGTTTGATGTTGCTTTGTTCCAGCACCCAGAGTGGCCGCTGCCCTCTGGACTCTAAGAGCAACCAGCACCGGGTGAACGGCCCCGCCCCCTGCTCCCCAGTCACGGCTGTCCCACGGCCTGGGAGGACCCCAGCCACCTTCCTCTGCACGGATGTTCCACTTGGCTTTGTGGGTCATGAGCGCGTTGGAGCTCAGGTCCTGCAGTTTGCAGTGGCTGCTGCTGACCAGGGCAATGTTGGAGGGCTTGAGGTTTCTGAAACCGAGAGGCACGCCTTGGCTCCCGGCCCTCGGGGGCCAGCGTGTGCCCTGAACCTTACTCCCGCCCCACCCAGTTCGGTGGCAGCAGCCCACGCCCCTCTCTCCTCAATAAATGCCCCCTTCACAGACCACTTTTAAAACACTGTTTCCTATAAACAGAACATTGGGAAAAACAAGCCAAAGACAAGTAGGAAGCCACCTAGTCCTCCCGCAGTTCCTTCCAGGTGGGAGCTGTGCCTTTGCTTGGGGACAGGTTTCCGACGGTTTCGTAATGTCCACTGACATTAACACTGGGTGGTGAGCACTTCCTCTCTACACACAGTCCACATGGCTTTTCTCTGCCCCTTGAAATTCGATACTGAACCAATCTGAAGCCATTCCCAGCCCCTCAGACCACGGATTCCAGAGCCTGAGGGGGGACTGGTCACAGCCGCGCCACCTGGCCAGAGGCCACCGTGGCTTAATCTCCAGTCCCGGGAGTGTTGTTGTTATCTGCTTTCTTTCCTTGCCCTTTAGAACCAACCTGCCCGGGTCAGCTCACGATTCACGGTTGCGTAGTGAGGGTGAATCACTGCAGGTTATCGGGGGGGAGGGGGACATTCTCCTTAAGCCTGGGAGGTGCTCTGGACAGGTGCTGGCCCTCTTCCTGGCTGCATGGACCGCACCTCTCTGCCTCAATCCTGCCCATGGGCACTGATGCCTGAGAGGACTCAGTGCCTTTTCTCCTGAGGCAGCCTGGCCCCCGGTCACCTGTGGATGATGTCCAGTTGATGCAGGTAATCCAGAGCATCCAGCACTTGGCCCAGCATGCGATGCATCCACTGGGGAGAGAGCGACAAAGGCCGGGGTTGGAGGGGCCCCTGCAGCTGTGTGGAGGGGTCAGCGACCACTCAAGGCGGCCAGTGCGATTGTGGCATGAGTCCTGAGACAGGCCTAAAGCTGGCCATGGGCTCAGAGCCAGTGCAACAGGCTCCTTCAACAGTGAAATCATGTCAACCTGGGCAGTGCCCTTGTTTCCACTCCTGTCTCTGTAGCAGAGACCTGGGGTGCCCTAGGGCCCTGGCCCTGAGCCCCACCTCTGTGGCCCATGGGCCTTGTGGGCGTCAGAGCGGGTCAAGTCTTCAGTGCCTAGTTGGGGCTTGCCTCTCTATGTCACTAGAAAGAATAGAGCCCTGAAAGAGAATGTTCTGGAAGTATTTTGTGTCAGAAACCAGATCCAGTTAGTTTCCAGGGCAGTGATTTTCAAACGGTGTTCCTAGGAACCCCGGATTCCACACTAGGGTGTCAAAGAGGGGCTGAGCGGCAGGACCCCTGCCTTCCTCCTGCTGCACCTCCCACCAACCGCCCAGGTCCCCCCTACCCCGCATTAGAATAGAGCGGCTTTACTTACTAGGATTCCGAGAACATTTTGTGCTTGAAAGAATCCCACCACTCACAGAAAGTTTGAAACCCTCTGTGGAGCCCGCCCCTGAGGCCCATGTGGGGTGAGGAGCCCATCAGCAAGGACACAATGCCCACCAAACAGAGCGGTGCTGAGCAAAAGCAGGCACCACTCATTGTGTGGGATCGTACACCTCAAGGTGAGAGCAAATGACAATCTAGCTCAGGAGGCAACGTGACCTTGGGGCAGGAGAGGCGTCGCTAACAGGACTCACAGGCACCAGCATCAAAGAAGCATTGATACACTGACTTCATTACAATTAAGAACTTCTGTTCATTGAAGACATTGTTAAGAAAGAGAATTGGCAAGCCACAGACAGGAGGAGATGGGGCAGGTACCAGTATCCAGGACATATAAAGAACTCACACAAATCAGTAAGAAAAGAAAAACAACCCAGGTTTAAATTGGCAGAAGATCTGAACAGACAAAAAGAAAGTTCCAAACGGCAGCGCTCGCCGTGGTTACTTGTCCTCACTAGAATTAAAATGTCACTCCCTTTTCATTTAGATAAAAAGGGCTGACACACTGACATGTGGGCCAGGATGTGGTGGGAGTGAACCCCGGGTCAAGCAAGCCATCTTGAAAACTGTTTGGGGTGTCTGCTAAAGCTACACACACACCTGCTCTATGACCCAATAATTCCAGGCCTTGGTATCTATCCAAGAAAAACGAGACTTTAGGTCCACCCAAAAAAAAAAAAAAACCGAAAAACCAAAAACACCCAGCAATGCTCATGGTCCCAGACTGGAAACAACCCAAATGCTCACAGAGCGAGACTCCTACAGGCTCGGGCGTGGCCATGTGGCACAGCGGCACCAGCACCGGCCTGGAAAAGGACAGCTTCCTGACACACTCACAGCATGGTGGATCGCCAAGGCACCAGGAGGAACAGAAAAAAACAGACACAAATGACGACATGCTGTGTGAGCCCACATGTGAGCCTCAGGGCCAGGCAGAGGTCGAACCACGGGGACTTGTGGCGTCCTAGGGATGTCCTAGGTCTTGATCCGGGGAGGGTGTGTGAGTGTAACTGTGCAAATACACCATGCTCTGCGCTTCAGATCTGTGCACACGACAGCGTGCAAATACCCCCATACACAAATATCAGAAGAAAGGCTGGCCCGACTCCAGAGGCCCTGTCCTCCCCTCCGCCCCACCCCCCGCCCACTGTGGGGCTTTGACGTCACAAGGTCCAGGTGCTCCCTAGGCCGGGTGTCCTAGAGAGTCTGCCTTACCTGAGGGTCAATGATTGTCTTTTCCTCCCTCTTCTTCTCAATGACCTCATGGAAGCTTCCCTCATTGTAGTCCATCACCAGGCAGAGGCACAGAGAGGAGATCTGCTGGGCCAGGGGCCCCTTAGCCAGGGGCCGCAGCTCTGGCCCCCAGAAGCCCAGGCCTGGGCGCTTCGGAACTGTGCCACCACCCACAGTGGCTATGGAAGCACTGCCCACTGGGGGTGGGGGTGGGTACAAGGCCCCATGAGCAGCTCCTGCTCCTCTATCTCCTGTCCCCATCTCCCGCCCACCTTCCCCCCCGTCTCCCGCCCCAGCTCCATCTACACTAATCCACATGGACTTTTCTGCAGGCTCTCCTGGCCACTGCACACACAGGTCCCTGTGCTGGGGACCCCGCCCCTTCACGAGGATTCTTTAGGGCTTCGCTTAGATCCATTTCCTCCCTCTGAGGAGCCTGCCCCAAAGGGGACCCCAGCAGACCAGGTCAGAGGCCGCAAATCAGAACTCTAGAAGGACTCTGCTTTTCCTCCTGTACTGAAATGTCCTCCTTGAGAGTTAGGGAGTGGTCAGGAAATATTTGTGGGTGCTTGCAGTGATGGCCCTTCCCCACGGCTTTCCTCATGACCAAGCTAAGGGAGGGAATGTGTGTGAGGGGGACCCTCCGCTCCTGCTCAAACCCTTCCCTGTCAGCCCCAGATGGGGACACTATTGTGGAGGTCTGATTAGGGTCTGACACTCAGCGAGAGGCCTCGCAGTCTCCCTTCACCTCTAGCTCCCACTCTCTCCATCTGGGCTAATCTGAAAGGTCCTGGGACCGTGTAAAGACAAGAAGCCATTGAGCCTATGGGACAAAGCACAGGGTTTGGGGCTACAAGGCTCGGCCTGGCATCCCACCAGCTGTTACTAGCTGTGTGGCCTTGGAGCGCTCCTTAACCTCTCTGAGCCCCAGGGAAATGAGGAAAGGACTTCCCACCCTACAGATCTCCTAGAATCTGAGGAGGAACGTGCTGCTAGTTAGTCAACTGCATGGGAGCCGCAAAAGCCAGGGGCCCAGAGGTCAAGGACAACCTGATGCCAGCTGAGGAGGGGAAAACAAGGGACCAGCGTCCTGACATCTGCTCCTTCCAGGAAAGTCAAAACTCCACCCTCGGAGACACAGACTCAGGGAGCCTCTGGCTGCAGGAGAATCTCAGCAGCTGAAAGCACTAGGCGCTGAAGTCACGCCTGCGCGCCTGCCCGGCCTCGCTTCCAGCTGTGCCACATACGAGGTAAGTAGCTGGGAGGAGCTGGTGTCTCTAAGCCTCTTTCTCCTTCCGTAAAGGGGGATAGTGGCCCCTTCTCCACTGAGGCTGTTGGGGGCTCCCATGAGATGATGCTCAGAGAGTCCCCAGTGTGGCTCCAGTAAGTGTCAAGTCAGGGGTTGCCACGTTTGGAGTCACTGCCATTGCCACTCGAGGGGTTACAATGGTGTGGGGGAGCTCTGTGCTCAGGTCCCTTGTTCCTGTGCCCGAGTTGGCGCCAGCTGAGCCTGCAGGTGTCGGCTCTGACTCACCTCGCCATTCCACATGATGAACAGCTCATGGTAGGTGGAGATGTGGTCGTGCTGAAGCTTCAGCAGGGGCATCAGCTGCAGGCACGAGAGCAGAGAAAGGGGGACGTCTGGGGGACACGGTTCATCAGCCAGTGCTGTCCCCAGACCCCCAAATGCAAGCGTCCAGCTCTGAGCATGGCAGGAGAGTGGGCCCAAGGAGGCTGTGCAGCCTGGTGGTTAGGGGCCAGGCCCCGTGAGGGCCCCGTCTTCAGCCTGTGCTGGCAGCGCTGTGAGGAGAAACCTCAGCCTGTCTGAGCCTCCTAACCTCATCTGAAAATGGCGGTAACAGTGCTATCTGCCCCACAGGTGTCATGAGGACTAAGTGAGCTGATGCAGGCAAGTGCTGGGCAGACAGGAAAGAGCACAGTCAAGGGTGGCTGGAGAAGGTGGTGTGGCCACAGGGAGGAGCTGGGACACCGAGGTACCCAGGCCCACCTCGCCTCTGGGTCCCAGTGACCTCGCCCCAGCTGAAAGTGCTTTGAGAAGGAACACCACCATTAGGCGGCAGAAATGGCTACCTTAGCGACTAAGAGCTGAAGAGCCAGAAGGACGACGGCTGGTGTGGAAGGCTGGGTGTGACAGCAGGTCGCCCGGGGGATGCGGAAGGGGACGTGGGAAGCTCTGAGGCTCTGGGGGCTACAGGTGGGCGCTTTCTTTCACTTTGTCGGGATGTGGCCTGGGTCCATCCCTGTGGGTCAGTCACACTGTGGACCCAGTAGCTATTTGCTGGTAAGGGTAGCAAGAGGACAGTTCCAGAAAGAAGACAAACAAGTGACCATTAGATAGAAGGGCAGACAGTTAACTTCACGTGAAATTCAAGGAAGCAAAGCAAAGTGGTCAGAGCCATTGTCTGGTAGAAGTTCAATTAGAAGTGCGTGCAGCTGTTATTGCTATTAATATAAATTAGGATAGTATTGCCTGTTCTGACTGGCAGGGTTAAGAAATGCAAAATAGTTTACATTTTCTTTGTTGCACAATTCTGTATTTTCCAAATTTCCTAGTGTAACTAATACTTTCATAATTGAAGAAAAAATATTTTAAAAGATGGTTATTGGTAGATTCACCTAGGGACCTGGCCAACATTTCAACTTGATCTTCTCTGAGAACATATATGCTGAATTGTCAGCACCTGGATTTGGAAGTGAGCGTTTGGGCACAGACTCCCTTCAGGACCTGGGGCTTCTGGCTTCACTGCACAGGGCAAGAACTGGTTCTGACCCTCCCTGTCTCCACCCAGGCTCCCACCCAGTCACTCCACAGGAGGGTAACAGAACAGTGTCTGTGTGTTCTGTCTGCATCATGTGCTCTAGGGAGAGACCACCCAGAGAGTTACCTCCTCCAGGGCCTCACTGGCATTATGATAATCAATGCATTCCACCTGCAGGGGCACAAGAGCACTTGCTCAGTAAATGTGTAGTAAACCACCACCACCACCACCACCATTAATTCACCAGGGTGCTAGACTCCTACCACTCATGTCCCACCACATGGCTCCATGTGGGGCCTGGAGATGTTCCTAAGGCTGGGATCCAAAAATACCTCAAGCAATGACAGTACATTTGCTCCTGCTGCAAGGGTATGTGCAGGATAGCATAATATAAATTCCGAGCAATCATTAGGGGATCCATTTTCAGACCACCTCGAAAGCAGAAAGAAAAATACTGTAATGTGTTGGCCTCAGAGCCAAATAGCTCTGTTCTGGTTGGCAAAGTGTCAAGCTCACCACTGCATTCCTCATCCGAATTGGGAAGATTGTCCCCATCACTGCACGTGGGACAGTGGGCAAACGCGCAGAGAGGAAAAGGGTGGTGATAAGGGCGGCACCAAGCTTCAAGCCCGCAACATACTTGGCTGCAAAGACTGCAGGTAGATACTGTCATCCCATCTACTACCAGATCCTTACCCAGAACCTCTGCTCACGAGACGTACACATGAAGAACTCTTATAATCGGGTGATCGTAGACGAAAACCCAGAGTCAGTAGATTATCCCCAGAGCCATGTAAAGACCCCGGATGCAGCGGCACAGCGAGTCTGCCTGTCTTCCCTTCCTCTCGTTCCAGGGGGCTCATGCTTCGGTCAATTTGGCCAAAACAGACCAAAAGCCTTAAAAATGTTACATCTTTTGACCTAGAAATGCCACCCCTCGGCACGTATCCCCCGCAGTCCCCAGAGCCAGAAGAGGTGGAAGCTGTGCCCACAGCGTGATGTTCACAGCAGCTGAGTGGGAACAAGCATGTGATCAGCTTCAACGCCATTCTTGTAAAACAAAGGGACCTAGGAGTATACAAATGCTCAGAAAAAAGACTGGAAGGGTACACAAGCCCCTTCCTGCACCCCACCCCATGTTTTTTAGAAAGATTGACTTAAAAAAGCTCCTTGATTGCCCAGAAGGCAGTCAGCCGTCCTGCCCATTGGCCCATGAGACAGTGGGGCAGTCCTCACAGCTAGCTGGCAGTGGGTCAGGACTCCAAGCCCAGCCACCTTGGGTCGAGGCCACTGAGCTGCCCACGGACAGGAGGCCTGGCAGAGCAGAAGGGCTCTGGCAGCAGCTGTCTGTGAGGCTCTCCACCTGTACAGTCAGCCCAGCTAGCACCACAGACCACGTGGGGATGCCAGGGACTCATTTAAGGCAGCTCTCTTCCCCTAGACCCTTGCTTCATCTGGACCACCTGACTTGGACACACAAAGAGCTGTCCACCTGCAGGTCTGCAGCCTACCCTGCCATACCAGCACTGATGATGAGGTAGAGGAGGGGCTGAGGGCCTGGTGTCCTGCTCTCAGCCTTGTGTGACCTTGGGCGAGTCCCTGTCCCCCACCCCACAGCTTGGCTCCTCTATGGTAAAATTGGTGGCCTGAATTCAAATTGTCTTGGGAACTGTGTGATGCTCTCTCACCCGCAGCCTCAGGGGACCTCCCTATCCTTGCCTGTCAAGTGGGGTCACGGCTCTCGCTTTGCTGGGTCGGCAGGAGAGTAAATGAGAGGACATCTTGCTGAATGAATGGTAGGTGTGGCTGTGGTTGTTATCAGAGTAAAAATGAGCATTTCCTCTCCATCAAGGTGAGAGTCACCTGAGGTGCCTCATGCCACCCCCACTTCCACACACCTCCCAAGCTGGATTTGCCTCGTGACTGCTGGCAGACAGGAATCCCGCTGTTGCATCAGGAAGCCTTTTCTAATACGGGAATGATGAGCATATGTTTGGGGGAACCACCCCCAAATGGCCTTTTACCTGCTTTATCACAAGCTTTACTTTGGTTTCTGTCTCCTCCACCACCAGGTTCACCCCCAAGGCCCCAGGATTCAGCCGGTCCAAAACCTACCAGTAAGAAGGAAAGAATCTTTCAGGAAATGCACACAACTTGTCATTTTCCAAAGTGCGCCCATCTCCAAAGCCTCCTCTGGTTCTCCTAACTTCTCTGCGTCAGGCAGAGCAAGCATCTCTGCCCGTTTTGCAGATGGAGGAAAAGGCCCAGAAGGAAGACTAAGGAGACCTTCTAAGGTGGAACCCCAGCCCATCTCTTTGGACCTGATTCTGGAGTCCTTTCCACTACCCCATGCTTCTCCAATCTGCAGAGAGGACCCAAGGGTCCTCCCAGGGTCAGCAAAGGGTTTGCTCACTCTCTCTAGTCTTCTGTGATCCCAGCTTCCGGCACCCACCTCCAAACTGGGCATCCTAACAAGAAAGTAACTGGTCCATAATTGGTGCAATCATAGGCCCAGCCATGCATGTGCCTGGCACTGTGCCAAGCAGTTTTCATGGGATCAGCACTGCTGCCATGTCCATGTTCACATTAGAGGAATTGAGGCCCAGGGAGCTAGGTCCTTGCCTGAGGCTACAGTGCTAATAACTGGGAGGGCCTAGACTGGACTGGAACACCGGGCTTTGACTACAGAGCCTGTACATTTAGCCAAGCCTCCAGAGAGGTGAGGGCTATGGGGTGAGGGTGGACGATGGGATTACATTTATCAGAGAATGGAGGAAGAGGGGCCGGATGCAGAGGAGGGATGTGGGGGATGGAACCCTGGGTCTAGGCACTCGCAGAGTCCAGAAAAGTTTCAGGATTCTGTAATGCAGCCCCTGTGAGCGGTCTGAAGTCGGCTCCGGGAACAACACTGTTCTGAGCAGCTTAAGCTAGTGTAAGAATGCACATGCTTAGACCCTCTTAGGCAGCAAATTAAACAGGAGAACGCCGGTGTTTCAACACTTTTCTTTTCCTGAAAAAGTAACTTTGCTTTTAAAATTCTCTGGCCACCAGAAACTCATCTGCCTCACTGCTGGCTGACTCCTGTAGTCCTCCCACACAAACGGAATTCTCGCAAAGTGAGAAAAATCTAATTTACAAATTATTTTCAGGATAATGACATTTTAACAAAGATGGAATCTAACATTTAATAAAGTTGACATATTATGTATAGAAGCACTTAGTGAAACATGCATTCATTATTCATTTATTTAAAAACTTTGCAGCTTTTATTTTATGAATTTTTCAGGTCCTACACATTTTCACAGGCCCTGGAAAAGGCCCAAGTACTCCTACTGGGGACTACTGTCGGGGTGTTTTAGGCATTTAGGGCTGCTGATTATAAATTCTGCGTGTTCTAGAGTATCCTGCCTCCACGGGCCTAACCAAGCACGTGGACCCATGGGTGAGAAGGATGGAGTTGTCTTCCACCCTTAAACAGTCAGACAGATGGGTTTGGAGAGTCCTTAATTTCATTCATCGTTTTAGAGAGGCGCAGAATGAGGCCCAGAGAAGTAAAGGGCACCGGGAGGTCACCTTTGAAGGTACCTGAGGTCACCCTATAAGCCAGAGGCAGACACTGACCAGAACACGGGTTCTGTGCCTCCCTGGGTTGGGACCTGGCCACCTCTCCAGGAGCTGTGACGGTTAAACCAGTAGCGGGTGGTGGGGGTGGTGGCAGGAGGTCCAGGTCTGGGGCTCATCCTAGACCATAGGCCCCTCATCGCCCCAGCCTCCCTGCCAGGGGACAACTCGGAACCTGGTACTTTTCCATAATGACTCCGGCCTTCCTCTTGGTCGGTCCGTTGGGCGCTGGGGTTGCGCCCTTAGCCTACGCCTGCATCAGACCCTCGACTGAGCATGCTCAGTAAGGACTGCGTCGGGTGAGCACCTCATCCCCCACCCTGGGGGGTGGAATCCTTAGCTCCAGGTGCATCTGCCTAACTCCGTGACCCTCACTGCAGAAACATTGCCTGCCGGGGTACCCGTGCGTCCCTCCCGCCGGAGAGCCCTCCAGACCAGCCCAGCCCGCCTTAAAGCGCGCGATGGGCGGAGCCTCGCGTGCAGCGGGCGGGGCCGGAGATTGGTGGGCGGGGCCGGTATAGGCCGCCAGAGCAGCAGCTCGTCGGGAAGGGTGGGCGTGACCGAAGTGCGGGGGGCGGGGCCTGAGAGCGCGGGGGGCGGTGCGGCTGCGGGCGGTGCGCGGCCCCTTTAAGGCGCGGCCCGGGCGGGCCCGGCGGCGCGGCCCCTTTAAGGCTTGGCCTACGTGGCAGCCGCTGGAGCTGCCGACGAGGAGCGAGGCAGGCCGCCGGGCACTTCCTGTGGAGGCCGCAGCGGGCGCGGGCGCGGGCGCCGAGAGGCCGAACGCCGAGCGAGCGAGCGAGCGAGCCGAGCCTCCCGCCGCCGCCATGGGCCAGAACGACCTGATGGGCACGGCCGAGGACTTCGCCGACCAGGTGCGGCCTGCGGGCCTGACTGGCCTCCCCGCCCCGGGGTCCCTCCCGCAGAGCCCCTCCCCTGAACCCCGTCTCCCGGTCCCCGTCGCCCCCGCCCCGGCCCCGAGCCCCGGCCGTCCCCGGGGTCCGTTTCCCCGTCCCGGAGTCCCGCAGGGTTACCCCGAGGCCTGGGCCGTGCCCTCACCCCTTCCCGATCCCACCAAAGGGATCGCCCCCTCCCCCAACCAGGGCCCTCCCTTCTGGGCTCGTCGCCCGTCCCGACCTGGGACACCCCAAAACCCAGCCTCCGGGCCCTGCCTGCCCTTCTTGCCGCCTCCCCGCCAGGGCTCGGGGTGTGTTCTCGGGCCCCCACTTCAGCACCCATTTCGGCGACCCGTCCCCCCATCCTGGCCCGGGCCTTCCTATAAGGTGAAGGGTGTGAGCGGCTGCCTGCACACCCCCTGAGAAGGCGTCCCGAGTCCCTTGGGGGCTTGGGGAGCCGTCCTCTCCGTTCCCAACGGTTGGGGTGGCCCTTGCACGCTTTTCCTCTTATTGGGCACTCTTAGGAGGCGGGGTGGGGAGCTGTGATCCTAAACGGGTCGATCAGACTGGGGTTTCTGCCAGAGGAAAAGGGGTGTTCTGATAGGCGCCACAACTCCAGAAAGCCGCAGCACTTTTCCTTGCCTCTTTCCCAGATGTGTGGACTCACGGGGTCCCTTTGACCCTGCATTCTCCCTCCCTGGACTCTGCCCTGGGACTGAATTGAATGGGTGTCTGTACACAAGCCTGGGAGGAGGGGAAGCCTATCTTCCTGGGGCTTTTTTCCTTCCAGAAGTGTACAGGTGGCGTTCTGAGCAACCGGGAAGCTCTCAGAACAGGCGTAATACCGTTCACGGTACTAAAACTAGATGGGCAGACTCAGATCCTGCAGGCGGAGAGGCCCCAGCCTCTACCCTCTTGCTTGATTTGCTCCGCAACCATAGTGTAACGGTGAGCGCTCTGGACTCTGATTTGCTCCGCAACAAGATCCTGGTGGGGGTGATTTAGTTGCGTGCCTTTTACTTCTGAAAGGATCCTGCTGTGCCTGTAGATGAACGGCCGAATCCCCTGCAGGCAGATCCTTGTCTGGACCAATCGCCATGCTTGCCTTGGTTCACCTGATGTGTCTGTGCCTCTGCCAGAGTTCAAAGTGGTGCGGTTAAGTTTTTAACTTTTGTGGGGATGGTATCAAGTCATCATACTCTGAGGCTGGGCTTCTTGGAAGGTTTGTGCGCATGATCGACCCCCCCCCCAGTAAGGGAGCGTTTTTCTGATTAGTTATCAGTGAATGAGATTTTCCGTTCCCCTCGAGAGATGGTCTCTCTCTCTAGTATGGCCTCATAATTGGCCATAAAAGTGCCCCACTTTCCTGAGAGCCAAATCTTTAAAACCAATTTTTGGGGAAAAAGTATGTCAACTTGAAGAAATAGTTTTTCCTAAGGTCCTGATTTTGTGATTCCAGACACAGTTTAAAAACTGTATCCCTCACAAAAACAGTTCATACCGAAAGCTCTCAAGAGCGACGTAGGCCTTCTTTGTCAGTTTTCACTGACATAATTTTAGTGACCCAGTTTTCTTTCCCCAAGTAGCTACTCCCTAAGAAGATGGCTCTCCTTTTAGCCAAGGGAAGTAAGAGCTGCAAACACTCACTCTTGGGCCTGGAAAACCCTGGTTTTGCAAGTGCATTTCATAATCAAACCTAGATAAAATGTCTCCAGCCAAGCTGCTGCCAACTATCAAATCATAAACTCTCCTACTGAAAAAAAAGTTCAGATCTCTTTACATAATCCTTCCTTCTTTGCCTTTCATGCATTTTGTCTGTTTTCAATGAGAAAAGCAGAATCTTGGACCCAGAAAGGCCCTTGAGGGGCAATAGCGTCGGCCTGCACCAAGTTACTGTGGGGAAGGAGGTGAGGCCCACCGAGGCTGCTGGACGGGCCTGGGGCCACGGCCTCGGAAGCCAGCCCGATTCTGGCCTCAAGGCTAGTGCCACATGCAACATGCTTCTGAGGCCTGGTGTCGCTCCTCTAGCACGTGCAGGCCTAAGCACTACCACTCTATCACTGGAGAGGGGCATGGTGCCTAAAGACCAATGTGGACCAAGTCTGTGTCTGTCCGGAAGTGCGGGCGCCTGCTGTCAGTTTATCAGCGCCAGGGCCCTGATGGTGGCAGAGGAAGTCAGCAGACACCTCCATGCCCCTTTGTGGGTGACTTGGGAGGGCAACAGCCCCCCGTGCTCTTCAAAACCAAAATCAGTGGCCTCTTCTGCCACAGGCAGGCTTGGCACGGGAGGACGACATGGGCGCTTTTGTTTTTAACAGTTCTCTGCATCGTATTAAAACAAAGCTGCCAATATAAAGGTGCTGAGAGCCCGGGCTTTTAAAATGAAAGTGACCTGATTTGAAGGGAATGAGGAAATATCGAAGTCACTGATCAGATAATGTGGCATATCCATTTTCCCTAACCTTGTCTTCAGAAAACAAAATAAAAAATGAGGTGACAGGATTTGACGAGAAAGTCTGGGCTGCTAAGAGTGGGACCTATTATACAAAGGCCCATGCGTCCTCTGCTACTTAGGACAGTAATACCGAACCTTAACGGCACCTGCGCTGGGCCAGGTCCTCCGGACGTAATACTTGTGTCGGCCTCCGAACCGTGTGAGGTTGGCCGTGGTGTCTCCATCTTCAGGTGCAGAGACGGAGGCTTGCTGTGGTGGTGCATGGCACGTGGTGGGCTCAAGTTCGGGGTCCAGTCTTGGTACGCCTTGCTGGGCTCCTCGCCGCCTGGCCATGCTGTGACCTGTCCTTCAGGTCTGCAGAAGCGAGAGCCCCGGATAAGCGGCCTGCTTAGTTTCCGCTGACAGGCCCCTCCCGAGCGGCATCTCTGGCATCGAGCTCCTGCCCAGGCAGCCAGGGACAGTGTCCTCCTGCTCCCAGGAGGCCAGGCACTGGAGAAACTGCTGAGAGTGCTCTCCGGGAGCTCAGCATTCAGAGGCCATCTGCGACCGGGTTGGAAGGGCCAGAGACTAATGAACTCAGCCATCCAAAATCACGTCAGCTGGTACTGACTGGCAGCCTGCAGAAGGTAACTTGGAGCACATTTACACCAGTAAACAGGAGTATTAGTTAGCACTTAATGGGTTCTGCCTGATGGCTCATCACCAAGGTGACAGATACGCTGCCTGGAGCCTGATTCTCCACCGTGTACTTGGTATGTTTACCTGTCCTTGGGCATCACAGAGCCAGTCCTAGGAGCTATCACCCCCAGGAGCTCCCCTTGGCCTCTGGTCAAGTGTGGGGTAGCGAGGATGGCCCTCACAGGACACTGAGCCGGGCACATACAGCCGCAGGTGTTAGCGCTCTGGACCAGCAGCTCGTGGATGGCTAGCAGGTGACTGGTGGGTTCTGAGCATTTTCCTCGAGTTCCTTGGCTCTGTCACCTGCCTTGCCAAGGGCTTCCTGCCCTGCACCATCAGGACTGGGGAGAGAGCAGACAGGAGCTGACTCACTTAGACAGGAGGTTAAGAAAAGCCGCCCCACCTCTTCTGGTGGAGACGTGGGGAGACTGGTTAGCACTTCTGGAAGGTGAGGTACAGCTGTCATCTCTGCGTGGCCTGTCACTGCTCTCCTACAGTTAGTTAGGCTCTGTGTCACGCGTGGATTTTTTAGTAGAGAAAGCCAGGCCATCTCTCCAGCTTAGGGCCAGTTGACACCTCTTCTTATCCGTCGAGGTAAAGCATGAAACTACAGAGCAGCACTCAGGGAGACTTGCTGGGAGTTCTGGGTCATGGTGGACACACACATGTGTCACCGAACTCCTGCATCCACCTGACTCAGCCTGGTGTGAGGGAAGTCACCGGCCACAGGTTCCAGTTTGCTGGGATGTGGGCCTGGACAAGGGCAGCGCCAGTCCCCGGTGATGAGGAAGGCTGACCTGCCTGCTCGTCGTCTTTGGAGTTCTCACTCACCAAGAATTGCAGACTGCTTTCTTCAGTTCCTTTTTATCCGGAAATACTAAGAGAAAGGAGGCTTTTCTGTGTTGTGTGGGAGCTGCAGGTGGCTGTGTGACATGACCACTATCTAGAGTTACGACTCAGGCTGGGTATAGTCACGTCTCCTAAGTTCCCTTCAGTTCTCCAAAATGATAAACCCTTGTAAATAAATCTCAGCTTCCCGTGTTTCTGGTCACTCAGATGCGGTCACTGCCTGTGAACAGGTCGTGATGGGTCGTGAGGGTACCTGGCTGTGTCACCTCCTCCAGGCTCTCCCTCTCCGTGCCTGCTTCCAGCAGTCGTGTCACGGTTCTCTCCTGAGTGCCTGCGGCAGGCGCGGCCAACAGGCGGCCCCTGGCCACCAGGGCCTGTCGTGCGTCGGGCTGCTCTCGCCCTTGGGTGCTGCCTGGATGTGTGATGCCGGGGCTCTTCCCTGCTGTCCTGTGGGGACACTGGCTTTGGGACACTGTCTAGAGCGGCTTGATGTGGTTTCAGTGGCCAGGTCTGCACCATTGTGACCAAAACACATGTAGGGAATAAGATCAAAATTGGGTCTGGTCTCATGTTAAACAGTTATTTTCCTTCGTGTTCAGTCCAAACAGGTGCTCGTTAGAGGGTGGCTGGTTTAAAAGGGGCTCTGGATTGGCCTGACTTAGAGAACAGTCAACCTAGGCCACGTTCGACTTGGTAATCAGGGGCATGCTTAGTTCAGAGCACAAATTCCTGGATTTTGCATTTTTTTTTCCTGAAGCAAAGAGATGCCTGTCTCCTGGGCACGTCTGTGAGGGGAAGGTGGAGTGAATTACCCGTCTGAGGGGAAGGCTCTCTCCGTTGTTCTTTAATCCTCTTGACCCAGACACTCAAATTAAGAGTACAGACTCATCGCGGCGGCTTTAAACACTGCCTCCGTCTCGCGGCCGCGCTGCCCGCCAGTCTTCCACGGGGCCCTGGCTCGGCTGCTCCTCTCTGGTGAGGATGGACAGGCAGACTAGGCAGGGAGCGGCTTTCAGTTCCAACTGGGAGGCAAGTCTGAACATCTCCGATGTGTGTCCCAGCACTGCCTTTTGCCCCCACCCCCGGGAGTCCCCCCATGGCTCCAGCCCCTTGAGTCTGCCCGGCCTGGCCATGCGCCTCGCCGGGCCTAGATGTCCAGGTGAGGCCCATGTCATTGCCAGGGCCTCGCAGTGGGGCCTTGATGTGAAGGCCGTTGCATTAGAGCCCAGGAAGTGCTCTTTATCTCCTGGAGGACATGGGTTGATTACACCGTTGCTGGGCATTTCAGAAGCATTTGGGTCATGAAGCAGAAACAGGAGGGTACGTGGCGTCAGCTGTCCCCTAGTCCCTGATGCGAGGCAGCGTGTATGTTTACACTGTGTGTGCATCTGGGTTTGTTTGTGTGGACTCCAGAATTCATATAGGAGCATTTGGGACCTCTAAGCAAGGTCCTTTTTCCTTCCCTCTTCTCCTGCGTATTAAAGCCGGGAAGAACCTTAGCAACCATTAAGCTAGCTGTCCTCACTTCGTAGGACAGTAGAGACCCCCCAAAAGTCACTCGGCTTGTCCGTGGTCACACAGTGCACTGGCTGGTGGGTATCAGAGTCGGGGAGCACAAGGGGCGTCAGCCTCAGCCCGTGGTCATCTCCCTCCCTGTGTGGTTGTCTGTCTCATTGTTGCTTCTGCTGCCGCTTCAGAGGGGGTCGGGCTGATCAGACATGTGCAGAATCGACACTTTGGGGCTCATGCTCAGTAGAGGTAAAGAGAATGGACACCTGGCTTGTAATCCCTCTCCCTCCCTCCCTCCCAGGTGAGCCAGGCTGCTCTATGTTGAACTAAACAACCAGTGGCTCATGAACTGCGACTGACAGCTTTATCAGTTTCTAGGACTTTTAAGCAACTCTTCAAAATGCCAAAAATTAAGAAATGCTCTGTATACATCTTCATTTATTCCTACAATCAGTCCTACAAGGGGCTGTGACATTACTGTGCTGTCCCTTGAGGGGTCAGACTCACAGATGCCCTTTAGACTCTCACTTGCTGCCACATCACCCATGTGGGTGCGTCCCCGATCTTTCTCCTGAGTTCCTGCTATGTTATCATGGATCGTAGGGTTTCTGTCCCTTTGTATCAGAGCTTCATACGGTTGGCAAGAGAAAGGGCACATGGTGCGCCCGAGTGACATTTGTACCTCGGTTTCTACTTGCGTTTGTGTCCTAATCACGCCATCGTAAATGGCATGACTCGCCCAGAGCAGGCGGAAGTTATAAATGTGTTTCACTCGTTGATATTTGTCAGTGGTTTTACATACTTGAATATCATAGCTGTTGAAACAGTTGTCCACCGCATTTGTTAGCATGTTCTTCGTTTGCTTGGGCCTAGCAGGCTTTTAAAAAAACTCCGGAGCTTTCTAGCCATTAGCCATACCAAGTTCATGGATGGTGCAGTCCCAGATGCAGTAGGGCCACCAGGAGGAACTCTGGGCTAGGTGACCTCCGAAGGCCTGTCCCCTCTGCCATTCAGGGATTCTAATCTGATGCCCGTGCCTGAGAAGAGAAGCTGTGTGTCTTATGGCAGTTCCATGTTTGATGACTGTAGTTGCTACCAACATGTGTTTGCTGAGATGACAGAGGAGGTCATAGAAGTGCATCACGCCATCACCATGTGTGCATGGGCTGACACACAGCCCAGTGTAGGGTTGTTGCACATCCGGACCCACAGGGCATGCTGGCAGCAGGTGCTGAGTTGTGTGCACGGCGCCCAGGACCTGCCTGGCTGGGGTGTGGTGGCCCTGCGAGGCCCTCACGGTGTCTGTGGCCCCGCAGTTCCTCCGAGTCACGAAGCAGTACCTGCCGCACGTGGCGCGCCTGTGCCTGATCAGCACGTTCCTGGAGGACGGCGTCCGCATGTGGTTCCAGTGGGGCGAGCAGCGGGACTACATCGACAGCACGTGGGGCTGCGGCTACCTGCTGGCCTCCTCCTTCGTGTTCCTCAACCTGCTGGGACAGCTGAGTAAGTGGCACTGTCACCAACACCACGGCCAATGCACGTGACTGTTAGAGAACCCGGAGATGGTGGTGACCCAGAGGGTCTCCCGACATGGGCATCCGCTCCCCCCTTCGGTCCCGTGCCGGGTGCTCCAGCCTTTGCGTGGGGGCTTTTGGCCCAGCCCTGGGCCCGGTGCTGGGGGCATGCTAAGGAAGTGGGACACAGTCCCTGTATGGAGAAGTGGGTGACCTGGGGGGCCAGTGAGGAGCCCAGACAGTCAGAAACCAAGGTGTCTAGAAAGGAAACAGGTAAACGGGGAGGGGAGGGGAGGGGAGGGCACTAGACTGAATGTAGCTCGCCTTGGCCTTGGCCTTCTGGTGGCAGCCCTCCCGCCCTTGTACCTGTGGGCAAGAAGGGGACTTGCACTTGTCTGCCAGTCCGGAAGCACCCCACAGTAGAGCCTCTGATGGCAGCCGACTGGGAAATGTGGCCCATACTCTGTAGCAAGGAACCTACTGCGTAGCCCAGTTGAGTCATATGTGGGGTCAGTGCCTGCCCTTCATTCTCCTACCAGCTGATTTTGACTTGGGGCAGGTCGTTGGGCTTCTGCCACACCTGGGGGCCAGGTGAGGCGGCCAGGTACTAACCGGGGTGTCTCCTCTCCGGGCCTTATCCCGAGCCCCCTGACCCCTGCCCTTCTCTGTTCCAGCTGGCTGCATCCTCGTGTTGAGCAGGAACTTCGTGCAGTACGCCTGCTTTGGGCTCTTCGGGATCATAGCCCTACAGGTAAACGGGGCGCGCAGCCGGGGTCTTAGGAATCAGCCCTGCAGTAAACGGGGCGCACAGCCGGGGTCTTAGGAATCAGCCCTGCAGTAAACGGGGCGCGCAGCCGGGGCCTTAGGAATCAGCCCTGCAGTAAACGTGGTCTCGTGGTCAGGGCCTCGCTTGTCCTTGCTCTGGTTGGAACAGTTTCTGAAAACACATTTTTGAGGATTCAGCATTGCTCCCCCTCCAGCCCTTGGTGTGTCTCCCTGGAACTCCTCTTCTGAGAAATCGCTCGATTTTCCTCAAGGCAAGCCCAGGAAAACTGGACGGCCACGCGGGGCCGGGGAGGCTGGTGCCCCTGAGTAGGTGCTGAGCTCTGGGTCCCCACCTTTTACCACTTTCCTGAGTTTTCTTTGACAAGGGGAGAGATCACGCAGCTAGCGGGAGCCAGGACACTATTCTTGTTACCATTTTCCTTCATAGAGAAGAAGACCCAGCTATTCAGATGACATCTTAACACCTAACATTTCAGTCTGCTCAGTGGTCTCAGAGCCGCCATGCTCTCCAGACACCTTGGGCACAGCTGATGGAGCAGGTGCAGGGGCCCCCAGCACGCTCTGAGAAATGCTGAGCCAAACTGCTGACCTGGGAACTGTCCTGGGTGTCCTACAAAATGGTTTTGTGCACCTTATATTTGGAAAATTATGGCATTAATTCTGTAGAAATAGAAGTGTGAGAATGCTGAGACTGAACTTTCTCTGTCCTGTCCCCCTCAGACGATTGCCTACAGCATTTTATGGGACTTGAAGTTTTTGATGAGGTACGTGCATGCTGGCGGAGACTTCAGTGTACTTGCCCCCATTTCAAACTCGGTGCTGTAACTGTCGGTTGGAGTTAACTTCTTGGGGTCCAGACTGTGCTTCTAAGAATCTGTGGTGGGTGTTGGCAAAGCCTTCCCCATCCCCACCCACAGCCTAGGCCCCAGATTTCACATCAGAGGGAGGAGGGGTCCAAGTGGAAACACACTTGCTCACAGGGACCCAGCCTGTCAACAGTAAAGCTAAGACCAGGACTGGGTTCCTAGTGTCCGGGTGACCCGTCACTGTTCAGTGGAACAGACACATCCGTGTCTCCAGTCGCAGAAGGTTTCCCATAGGTGGTCCTGTGGGCTCGCACCCACCTGGTCCTCTTTTAACACATTGTTTGCGGGCATTTTTCTCTATACGACGAGTTTACTTGTTTCTCGCAAACAATGTGTTAAGCTGGATAGAGGGAAGTAAGGGACGTATGGTCTGTCTCATGCTGGCCCGGGTGTCCTGAATCTGGCCTGGTGGTGCTGGAGAACCTGCCGAGTCCTAGCGACAAGCCTGGCGTTTCTGTCCTCAGGAACCTGGCCCTGGGAGGCGGCTTGTTGCTGCTCTTAGCCGAGTCCCGTTCGGAGGGGAAGAGCATGTTTGCGGGTGTCCCCACCATGCGCGAGAGCTCCCCCAAACAGTACATGCAGCTCGGGGGCCGGGTCCTTCTGGTCTTGATGTTCATGACTCTCCTTCATTTTGACGCCAGTTTCTTCACGGTGAGTATCCGGCTTCCGCGGGTCTGCTCTGCTGTCCTTGGGAAGGGGCGCTGCTTCCACCCCCACCCCCATAGTGAGCATAGCCGAGATGCCACTGGAAGGAGCTGGCTCAAAGGAAGCAACGTTTTGAGCCTATTAAGAGAAACAGAAAACTGTCAGGCTCTCGTTTGCCAAAAAGCCACCTTTCAAAGGAAGTCCAGACCGTCTGACGTCACTGGGGGTCCTGGCGTCGCTTTACCAGACTCCTTTGCCTCCTGACTCACCACTTGCACCTTGATCATATAATCTCTGTGCCAGGTATTGGGGGTGCGGAGTTGAAGGTTCTGTCCTTGTCCCCCAGATGCTCACAGGGCCCGTCTTTGTAGACTCGCCTCACGGGTGGGTCCCTAGCTGTGGGATGGGCTGGTTCTAAGAGGAGGTCCACCGGGCTCCAACTTAGCGGGTCCTGGGAAGCTCGTCCTGCTGATTGGAGATTTGTCTTCCCCACACCTGCGCTTCAAGCGTTGCTCCGTCTCCTGCCCCCGGCACCGTTTTCATCCTCACTACAAGGCGGCCTCTGGCTGTTAGCGGCCGTCTCAGCACACCTTAGTTGCGTCTTCCTGGTACAGCTACTTCAGAGCCGCTGGCCCATTTGTAAACACGATGCAGCTCTTCTTCCTCACGTCTTCTGAGTTCTTCCCTTTCCACCTGTGCAGATTCTCCAGAACATCGTGGGCACCGCTCTGATGATCTTAGTGGCCATAGGCTTCAAAACCAAGCTGGCCGCCTTGACTCTGGTCGTCTGGCTGTTGGCCATCAACGTGTATTTCAACGCCTTCTGGACCATCCCCGTCTACAAGCCCATGCACGACTTCCTCAAGTACGACTTCTTCCAGACCATGTCGGTCATCGGAGGCCTGCTCCTGGTGGTGGCCCTGGGCCCCGGCGGTGTCTCCATGGATGAGAAGAAGAAAGAGTGGTAACAGACCCTTCCTGCCTGGCTGAGACCCGCGGCCATCGAGGACCGGTTCGGGGTGGATTCGACGAAACTGCCAGCATTTATGTATCCTCTTCCCTTCCCTCCCTTGGTAAAGGCACAGATGTTTTGAGAACTTTATTTGCAGACACCTGAAAATCGATGGCTCAATCTGCTCTGGACTCACGACCTGGTAGCTGACCCTTCAGAGCTGGCCAGCTGGTTAGCACCTCCCTCCCACGGCAAGGCCTTGGCTTCCAGGCCTGAGCAGCTGGGTTGGCTGTGGCCTCTCCGTCCTATTGTCTCTCTCTGGGTGGTGGGGGGCCTTCGAGCTGTACTGTGAGCAGATACATCTGTGTACCATTCAAAGCAGTCTCCCTCTTATTTTTTTTTTAAAGTTTACGTTTTTAGCTAAAACTACTAAAATATTTGGGATGGCCCAGCCAAACATCAAACACACTGTCAGACTCCCTGGTTTAAAATCGCGTCAGTGGCTTCCACGTTGTTTCTGCCCTGCCTTGTAACACTTGAGACAGTGAAAATACCTAGAGAAACCCAAACCCCAAAGAATGAGGCATTCTATTAGAGGGGCGATGGTTCATGGTACAAGTCGTTGATTAATCAGAAAATCGGCTCGGACTGCCGCTCAGTCGTTTATGGGGTCACACCCCAGGAGCTCACGTGGCTCATCGTGGGGTTGTATGTATTAGAAGTCCTCGAGGAAGCAGCCCGGAGCCAGCAGGGACCCGCACGCCCCCAGGCCCGGCTGCGGGGCAGGGCAGTGACAGCGCCAGCTGGCAGACCAGTTACCTCACACTTGACCTCGCGCAGCCTCGGCTGAAGCCACGCGCAGAGCTGGCCCTGGTCACCACCACACTGCCCCCGCCCCCCGTTTTTCTTTGGCTTGAGGATTCTCCCAGGCTGTACAGCCACGACTTACCTTTTCAGGAGGCTGTTGCTTCCTCAGATCGTCTATTTGCTATGCTGAATGCAGCCCAAATTACTTTTTACGATTTGTGATGCCTTACCGATTGGATCTGACGCCTGTATTTAAAGTTTTCTAACATTGCCTTACACTGCGTTTCTCTTCAAGGGGGTGGGGGTGGGGGGGGGCGGGGTGAGTGCCAGTGACTGTTCTCTGCTCGTCCTCGTGTAGTGAAGGCCACCAGGGGAGTTGGCACACCTGTGTCCCCCATTGTTTTCTCCCTGATCCCACGGGGGCAGGCCAACGTGGCCAGGCTGACCAGACGGGACGAAGGCCCGGAGGACCGTCAGCCCGGCCTCAACTTGTCTTTCCTCTGGTCGTCAGCTAGGTCTGCAAGCCCGAGGGCCACCCCCAGGGCTGCTGGGGCCAGTCCTGAGTCAGGCTCCATGTCTACCTTTCAGACCAGAGCCAGCGTCAGGTGGGGAGACCCCATTTCCCCTGTCGGCTTCACGGGCAGGGTGAGGCTGCCTTTTGTCTAGCAGTGCTCTGAGAACTGTACCTGGCTCTGCCGCTGGACCCACCTAACCCCAGGGGAGTGATGGAGCACCTTTCACACCCCACCTGTGTCCCAGCCACATCCTGAATGTTTAGACAAAGCAATGGCTGAAGGACGGGGCGTTTCTATTACCAGTCACTCGCTACACGTAGGAGGGTGGTTTCTCAACTCACTTTGTGACTCAGCTTCAGCCGGTGGTCTCTTGGTCCACACCCCCTTCCCTGTTAACACAGCACAACAGCCCCATCCAATGGCACCATCAGCCAAGCTGGTCTCCCTGTGGCACTGTTTCTGGCAGGGTACGGGTTCTCGGCCCTGTGCTTGGGAGACCTTTGCTGGTTTGTGGTAACTAGGACTGAGCGCAGGAGGCCGAGTGGCGTGGTTGTGCCTGGTCATCCTCGATACCGGGGGTCGTTGCTGCCGCCCTGGAACCCTCTCGCCCCCAGTGGGCTAGTGCCTGGGCCGGGGGTAGACACCCTTGTGAGGAGGAGCGGAACATACAATCTACCAATTGGTTTTGGCAAAGCAACTTCTGAAAAATTTTTTGCTTTATGTGGGAAATAGGTATAAATCTCATTTTATGCTGTATTTTATATCTTAGTTGTGTTTGAAACGTTTTGATTTTTGGAAACACATCAAAATAAATAATGGCATTTGTTGTATGCAGTGTGATCCTCTGGTGCTGTCCAGTTGGGAGGGACCTGGCCAGGCGCTCCAGGACCCACAGGGAGCAAGTGGCTTCGCTGAGGACTTCTCAGAAGCCACATCCAGACAGAATTCTTCTCAGGATCCCTGCTGTTTCCTGGATGTGGGGGATGGGACCCCGACATCTGTGGGACAGATTCCCAGCCCTGCCTTCAGGAATGGAGAAATGAGTGGATGGAGAAGGCCCTGGGCCACCCCAGCAGTTGGGAGGACGCGTGTGGGGGACTCGTCGAGGAGCGCGAGGTGAAATGGCCTGAAGGATTCTCGAAAGGCTTTCAAGACGTTTTTCTCCAGCAATCGTTTATTAACCCGCCTGCTTAAAAGACCGGAAGCGCTTAGGTTTGCGGTGATGACTTCCGAGCCTCTTCTTTGATGAGCCCAACTGCTTCTGTGGTGGGAACAGAGTTCTGATCAGCTCGGAGATGCAGAGGTGCTGTGAGCGGGCTCCCGCCCCCACCGCAGACAGGGAGGTTTCAGCGGGGAACTCCCAGGTCAGTTCTCGCCCGCAGCTTCCTTACAGCTGCGGCTTCCCGGAGACCACAGGGCTCCTGAAGGGCAGTGCTTCGAACTCCCAAACCTCACAACAAAGGCCTTGACCTCTTAGCCTTCCTGCTCGTCTACCGAAGGAAACAAGGGAGGTGTCTAGCCCAGTCCTTCCCTCTCGGTTCCTGTGCTGCACTCAGGTAGTTGTCCCCTAGGCCAGTGGTCTCGACCTGACCCCTGGAGCCTGGCTTCCCTGCAAACCAGGAAGCAGCCCCCACCCCATCAGAGCAGCCTTGGCTCCTAGCTTACGTTATGTGTTAATTGGTTTGGGATTTTATCTGCGAAAAGGGTTCTTTTTATTTTTCAAAAGAAATGGAAAACCAGTGCAAAGGAAGCAGCTGCCAGTTAGCAGCCTGCAGGTGCCACTCACCTTTCCACGCTTGCGGGCCATCTTGCGGTCTACTTCCATCTCCTCTCCATCCCCAGGGCCCTGTTCTCTTGGATGCTTTGGCTTCCCGTCCTCATCTGTCAGAAAGGCATCAGGGCTGTCCCTGTGCTCAGTCCTTCCCAGGTCCTTTTCAGTGAACAGCTCGGCTGGAAGGAAGAGGGATTGGCTGCTGGAGGTGAAAGTCACCTGTGCAGGGCTAAGGGGGTAAGCGGGAGGCACAGCCGCCCAGTGTTGACGGAAACGGACAGGACCGGAGGGGACACGCCCTCTTACGTGGGTACAGGTCTGTCATGCTGTCGTCACTGCCGCTCGGGGCTGCGCCATCCTCATCGCTGGACTCGGGTTCCCAGAAGGCTGCCCTGGGGCGAGAGGGCCCGTCACCATCCATCCGGTCTTCCTTCCTCTTCCTCTTGTGCAGGAGGCAGGCGGGCACGTACTCCACACCCTGCTTCTGACACTCTTCATCTGGGAGACAGGCCGGCACACTGCCCGGTTCTCTCCGTGGCTCCCTGTCCTCCAGGGCCCCGCACCCCACCCCGCGGAGTACAGACCGGCGCTGGCAGACAAATGCCACCAGCTCAGTCCCTACCAGGGGAGGAAGGCGGCCAGCAGGGGTGTGGGCCAAGGGGCAAGACGACGGTGCAGGTCGACTGGGCTTGGAGCACCGTCCTCCGGCCCCAGGCAGGCTCCAGGAAGCAGCGGCTGGGAGGGCACCGAGGGCACGGGGCTGAGCTGCAGTGTCGCCTGGAAGCCATGCCAGCCTGTCACCGGGAGACGGAAGCCCCCTCTCAGGCACAGTGGCTGGAAGCCCCGCCAGCACCCGAAGTTGGCGGGGGGCCGAGGGGCAGGAATGAGGCTTCCCTGGAAGGACCTCACAGGAGTCACTGTCCCCTCTGCACCGAGGACTCAGGGAGGCCAGGCTGCTGGAGCTCGCCCTCTTGTCAGCTCAAGCCTCTCCAGCCCGGTGCAGCTCCCTCAGGGGACGAGGCCGGTGAGGGGCCACTGGCTCTCACTGTCGCCACAGCTCCCGCCATCACTCATGGGGGTAGACAAGCCCCACTGGACTCTGGCCTCGGAGGTCACTGTCCACTTCCGACTACCTCCAGGGCCCTATCCCCTGCTTCATCTCTGCCACCCACGCCGCGGCCCCACAGCAGCCTTGTCACCACAAGAACCCACACATGGCATCTCCTCACAGCGGCGCTGGCCAGGTCCCCTGGCCGCCATGCTGCTTCCTCCTCCTGTCTCAGCTCCATGCTCAGTGTTAGAAGTTACCCCCCCTCACAGGGAACCCAGCCCCACAGCGCCCTCCTGCCACACGAGCAGCTGCACACGACAAGAAAAGCAAGTTGGGCTCTGCGCCTGTCGGGCTCTATAGCAGCCCTGGAAAGGCCTCCGGTGTCCCCTCAGGTGAAGATGGGGCCTCATTTCTTCACTGGGAAACAGTGAAGCCTTTGGACTTGCTCTCCTCATCTTCACATCCTCAAACCCACCTCACCGCCCCCACCTGGTCCTCTTCCCCTGCCTCACGGGGCTGCAGCCACCGCCCCTCTCCAGCCCGGCTGTGTCCCCACCACGCCACTCAGCTGCCTCTGTGTAATTTCAAGGTCACTTTCTGTCTCATCTTCCCCTTGGTAGCATTTGATGAGAGCCCACCATTTCCTCCTTGAACCTCCTCTCTGCCCCAGACACTACTCCACCTGGTTCCTCCTCACCGTGGGCAGGCCCCGCCCCGTCCCTTCTCACCTGGCTCCATGGACACCGGTGCCACCTAGGGTCAACGGTGTGTATAGGCTAAGTGCTGGTCCGTCCACGTTTTTAACAGCCACCCTCGCTGCCACACGTCCAATTTAAAACGTTCCCATTTTTCTTTACATTTTCCCAGAAAGCCTACTCAGATTCCACTCTCGTAACTTCATGACGCCGTCTGTCACCTGCCAGTGCTCAGGCGGGGAACCTGGGGATCAGTTATGCCTTCCATTCCCTCACTCCCCTCATCTAGTGATTCTATGCACAAAACAGTTAACCTCTGTTCACACTGCTCCGTCTTCCCCACCAACACCTGGTGACCCTGCTGGTGACCCCAGCCACCGTCATCCCCACCTGGATGACTGCAGTCCCCTAGCGTCCCCTCGTCCACTCCTTCCTGTCCCTCCCCTCTCCCCTCAGAGAAACAGGGATGCTGAGACACACTGATCAGGCCAGTGCCCACTGCGACCCTTGCAGCGCCTCCCCGCGGCACGCGCTCCGGACCAGGGCCTCCACGAACCCGTGTGGTCTCGTCCCACCTGCCTTTCTAGCCCCGCGGTGCACGGTGGCACAATGAAGACTTGTCCTTCAGGGCCTCCTATGGCCGAGAGTGTTTCTGCCTCAGACCTTGCACAGACCCCGGCCTCTCCTGGAGCACTTGCCCCCACTCCATTTCCCCCCAGTCTCCGCCTAGAGAAGCCCTCAGAGAGCCTTCCCCAGGCCCCCCGTGTAAGGCAGGCCCTCCTGGCTCCCTGGGCACCGATTACAGCAAGTCCTTCAATGTTATTCCATTGTCACACGGATGAGATGTCGTAGGAACTTAACTCTTGTTTATGTCAATTAGCCAATGACAAAACTGGCTTCCTAGCCATCGTTTCACTTAATGTCACAGAGCTTATCAACGTTAAGTGAGGACTTGCTGTGCCGCGGAGTCTGCCTCCTGCTTTTTACCTGTCTCTACCCTCATCTCTCTCATCACTGTGCCAGGACCAGGCCTGTGCAACCCCCAAATATTGCTAAATGACCGACAGGCCATTTCCTGGGGGAGGGCAGGCATGCACCCCAACACCCGTGATTGAGGCAGGCTGTGTCCCCAGTGGCCACTTACATTTACGCAGGGCTTTCTGGTACCGCCGGCCCTGTGTATGCCTCAGCACGTGCTCTGGGGATCTGTTGATGTGCCGCAGGGTGAGTTTGCAGAACAACTGGTGCCTAAGGGGCAGGGAGAATGTGGTTTGCAGGGACAGTTCACAAGCAAGGATCCAGACCCATCTCCACCACGGCTGTGTCTCGGAATCAATCACCCCCAGAGGCTGCTGGGTGGGGGCCGTGGAGAGGGTCTACGATGTGGCCTGGGCATCAGGATTCTTAAAATCTCCCGAGCACTTCCACTCTGCCGCGGGGTCAGAACCACTGATCCTGAGGGACGGTGGCCTCACGGTCTTTCTGGTAAGTGGCCTAGCCGGCCTCCCAGATTGCTCTGGCGGAGAAATGCCTGTTTGAAGACAGCCTTTGCAAAGTTTTCCAAATGCAGGAGCATTCGCCAATACCACTTCCTTTTGACTATTCTTGCCAACCATACTCTCAGCTCAATCAAAGCTCTCCTTTAATGTGAAGGCGTGAAACACCTTGTTCAGACCTCGGGTGACAAGCGCACCAATCCTCTACGAAGCAGACCGGCCCAGGAGACAAACCTCGCGTTTACAAAAAAGCAAACAAGCTCAGCAAGGACGGGTATCATCTGGGATCCCACCCAGGTGACTCAGCTCCAGGGCGCCCACCTGCAACTCAGGTCTCCTAACTCGTGGGAAGGTGGGCACCGCAGAACTGGCCGCGTCCTTGAGGAGCCTCACCCAGCGGGGCGGGTTGGGGATTCGGAGCCTACTGCCAAGCAGTGGCCAGACTCAGGCTGGAACTGTCCCACCCGGACCCCCTCGGGGTGCCAGGCCCGCGGCCCGCCCCCGCCCACGTACGGGTTCTTGGTGCTGGGTACGATGTGCGGCTCGAACTCGGCGTAGTCAAAGGCCGGGGAGGCGCGGACCAGCCGCCGGTACCTCTTGCCGCTGGTGTAGACTTGGAGCTCGGGCAGGCGACATGGCAGTTCGTGGCCCGTCAGAGCGCACCTCACCTGCGGGCGGAAGGGCCGGCGGTCAGGGGGCCCCGGGGGCGGGCTGCGGGTCCTGCAGGCAGCCAGGAGCTCCCGCCCCGCGGACCTTGCAGGCGCCGGGCTCCAGCCGCAGGCTCGGGTGCTCGCGCAGGAAGGCGCGCACATCCGCGGGCGGCTCGTCCATGGTCGGCCGGCCGGTGGGGCTGGAAGCCGGGCGCCACTGGACCCACGTGGAGCCGGGGCGGAGGCGGGTTTGGGGCGGAGCATGGCGGCGCCCCGGAAGCAGTTGCCTCCAGACCCGGGAATCGGCGGCGGGGTGATGGCTGCAGCGGCGCGGTGGCTGGGGCGGCTGCTGCGCGCGGCGGGTGTCGGGCGGGTGAGCGGGGCGCTGGACGGCCGGGCGGGGGTCTGTCGGGCGGGTTAGGGGGCCCGCGCCTGAACGAGCTCAGCCTGCCCCTCGCGTCTCCGCAGGCCCCGGCCGGCGCGGTCAGGAGGAGCGTCCTTGGGGTTCCCCCGCGCGCAGGTGAGGACCGGTCCCGGTGCGACCTAGGCACCTGGGAAGAGCCGCTCTCCCCTGCACGGTGCAGGGGCCCGTGGGCGTTGAGATGAGTTCTGATCGCCTGATTATACTCAGCACCGCTTAATGAAGCCTTGATTGCGTGCAGGGCAGTCCCGGGACTGGCTCCTCTCACCCACATATTACACACGCGGCCGGAGACGTTAAGTAACATCCCAGTGTCTTGTCCGCCTAATTAGGGGCCAAACCAAGATTGAAACCCAGGTGTCTGGGATCCTAAAGGGAAAGCACATCTGATGATCACAGCTTGCATGGCCTCTGGACTACAGCAAAGGGCGCTGTGGTGTGCAGCGCGCTGGTCACCTAGGACGGGTACTTTATTGGCGTGCCCCAGGCCTGCTTTTATACCATCCACAAGGCCCGTGATGTTTTCGTTTGGTGGGATTCGCCCTCTGAGAGCTTAAATGCACTTTCTGTGTCCATTGTTCATCTTTAAGTTTGTGGGCAATGAAAAAGGGAAGCTCTTAAGAGAGCTCTGTAAACCACTGTCCTGTGTTAGTATCACGTTTCTGTCCCTTCGAAGCACAGCAGCCAGCACCTGTGGTCTCAGTGCAGTGTGTTCCAGTGTGAAAGGTGTAGGCGTCACCCAGGGTCGTGGTTGGTGGCAGAGCCAGGACTAAGGCCTAGGTCTCATTTATTCGGTCAGTAAGCATCCACTGAGTGCCATGTGCCGGGCACAGGTGGTGCAGGCTGGCTCCTGACTGCAGGTGGCGGTCTGTTCACTGCTCGTGCACCCCATGCTCTTGGGCAGTATTGGAGGAGTCCTCTTGAGGAATGGGCTGCTCCAGTCTATTGGTTCAAGGGCTTCTCACCCTATGCCAGTGTTCTAACACTTCCTAGGATTGGCCTGGAGGCCGAGCAGGTGCAGCAGTTCAGCAGCAGAAGCACCTGCCCCAAAAGCGGAAGACGACTCCTTTCTCCAGTGGTTCCTGCTTCTCATTCCTGTGACTGCCTTTGGCCTGGGGACATGGCAGGTAAAGACTGGCTTTCGGCCCCTGTGGCTCAGTCCTTGACCCTGCTGCCATTTGTTGGGCTCAGTCTGTTTCTGTAGGTCCAGCGTCGGAAGTGGAAACTGAAGCTGATTGCGGAGCTGGAGTCTCGAGTTATGGCCGAGCCTGTCCCTCTGCCAGCAGAGTGAGTGTGGGGCTGCTGGCCTGGGGCTGGTCTCACTGGACATTGGCAGTGGAGCCTGGCTCCTGCTTGTCGTCCTGGCCGTCAAATGAGAGCCCTCAAGATGAGTGGTCCTGCTGATACCCGACCGCCCTTAGGAAGCTGCCTGAAAAATAGACTCTGTGACCTGGGTTTCACCGTCTTTTCAGGGCTGTGTACCTGAGGGACCCCCCGTGCTGATGGCCCCCTATAGTGGCAGTTCTTAGCTGACGGGTTGAGGGGCAGGCAGTCATGTCTTGATGTGAGTGTATTTTGAAAAAGTGCCCTAAATGGTGCTACTGCCCTCTCCCCATTTCAGAGCACTGTCCTGGAGGGATGTCTTCAACG